GACTCCTAGGAACCTGGCTGAGACTACCGGCGACACTGTGGCGTCCCCAAGGCGAATACTTTGCGGCAAGGGCTCTCGGGCCCTAGTAAAGTGCATTAGCTCACTCTTGTCAGGAGCGAACTCCATCCCGTGCCTCACTGCCCACCGCTGACACGTAGCCCATGCGCTCTCCAACCGGCGGCAGGTCGTGTCTGGATCGGTGCCGACGCTTAGCAGGTTCGTGTCGTCCGCGAACCCGACTACTAAAAGTAGTGGATGCTGCTCCGCTAGCTCCTCGTACAGCGTTGAAATGTATAATATAAACAGTATCGGGGATAGCGGTGACCCCTGGGGGACGCCAGCTCGTAGGGGGATTGGCTCTGACTCCTTGCCATCGAACCGGAGGCGTACCGTTCTATCCTCCACGAAGCTGCGTACCCACTCCTGAACCCACTCCGGGTAGCCTTTCCGGGCTAATATGGAAATCAGCCGTCTGTAATTGACCGTATCGAATGCCCCCTTGATGTCTAGCTGTAGCAGCGAGGCGATGCCCCCGCGTCTCCACGCCGTATAGACCACGTCCTCAACTATACGTATTGCCAGTTCGGTGGACCTCCCAGCGCGGTTACCCATTTGGCCGTTTGGTAGTAGGCCGGCCGCCTCAGCTACTTTGGTGATACGCTGGCTCATCGCCGTCTCTATTACCTTCCCTACCGTGCTAAGCAGGGCAATGGGGCGCCAGCCGCCAGGGGTCTGCTTCTGAGCTGTCGTTTTATTAGGCTTAGGGATAATAACCACCCTCGCTGAGCGGAAGCGCTCCGGGTAGTACCCCAGCCTAAAGCTAGCTGTTGCCAGATCCGCTAGGATCTCCCATAGGGGTTCACCGCAGGCCTTTAGCAGGCCAGTGGGGATCAGGTCGTCGCCGGGAGCCTTCCGAGCAGCCGTTCCTTTGATGATAGACTCGATATCCATTGTGGTCACCTCCCTAGGGACGTTCAGCTCTGGTCTCGTCTGTAATAGGCCGCGATCGAGGTCCGATAGATCTATATACGGGTCTGGGAAGAACCTCTCAGCTAGTAATTTTGCCTTCTCATCATGTGTACGTGCTGTAAGCGTGTCGCCGGCGTCCCTCCGGAGATCTGGCAAGCCGTGGGCCTCAGGGGGGGCCCAGCTCCGTAGCCTAGCCCACCTCTGCAGTGCCCACAGGCTTTTGTGATCCTTCGCCGTCCCCTCGAGCTTCTCGTGCCAGCTACGCGTCTGCGCTTCGCTGATTTCGAGCCGTTGTTTTTGGCCGGCTCTTGTATATTCGTCCCAGTTGGTCTGCGACCTTGCCTGGAGGTAGTCCCGCCGTCGTCTCTTCGTCTCAGCGCAAGCCTTGCTAACCTGCGGGCACCACCACGGGACCCCAGCGCCTCGGCCAACGGTGCGTCTCGGGACCGCCACGTCGGCGATCTCTTGGAGGTTCCGGATAACCCAGTCAACAGCCTGGTCCAACTCCGTTATCGTCTCAACCGGCAAATAATTCATAAATCTCTGGCTTGATTCGGCTACGATGAGCCACTTATCCGCCATCGCCCAGTTCCACCCTTCGACACTGCGGCGGCCCTCCTTGACTGCTTCCCCGTTGGATATTACCCTAATCACTTGCGCTCTGTGGTCTGAGCCCTCTAGGCCCGGGTCCCCATCGTAATCAATCCTAGCCCCTTTCGTCACCCAGGCTAGGTCGATAGTTGAGTCTCGTTGTTTGTGCCTTTGCCGTGTGATTTCCCCGAACGGCGTAACGAGCTCTAATCGCCAGCGTCGCGCAAACTCCACTACGTTGTCGCTGCCCCGTGACGACCGTCCGTGGACGTCCCACAGCGGGTGATGTGTATTGAAGTCCCCTACGAGGACCTGTGTCCCCTCCGGCGCCCCATTAGGGAGGTCTTGGAGCGGGCTGACCCAGCGGCTCCCGGTTTGGTTTGGTGAATAGATAGACCAGATTGTAAGGGCGTCCGGGCCTGCCCCGAACGTAATACTGCTCCAGTCCATCCCGGTACGGGGTCGCAACGTAGCCACGTCGTATCGTTTATGGACGTATAGCGCAGCTCTGCCGCTGCTGTACACTACTTCGTACCTGGACGACTTCGGGCAATAAATCGCCTTCGTCCGCCGGTTGATCCATGGCTCTTGAACCGCTATTATATCATAGTCACCCCCCTTATCCAGCGCTAGCGTTGCGTTCGCCTTTGAATCTGCGATATTCCAGTAGAGAATAGAGACTACCATTAAGCTGTCGATGGTATATCTTCGTTCGTACGTCCCTTAGTGAGGAAGCTACGCATTGCTGACGCAGACCGTTCGGTTCGCTCCTGCTCCACTCGCGATCCGCCCAGGGGGCGGCCCCGGGGTCGTACAACTGTAAACCCGTCGCTGGTCAATGAGCTAGGTGGTGTGAGCCTGCCCTCACTAGATAACCCGTCCGAGTAGCTGCGGACCTCAAATTGTCGGGGGCGGTGAGCGTACGCCTCGCGTACGCGTAGCCGCTGCTGTTCTGCCGTAGGGCAGTCCCTGTCCCACGCCGTGTGCTTCCCTTTGCAGTTCACACAACGTTTTTTGCCGCTAGGTGCCTTCTCGGGGCAGTCTTTTTCACCCCCTGGGTGTGCCGTTGCAGCGCAGACGCCGCAACGCGCCGTCTTCTTGCAGTGTTTCGCGATATGGCCGTATTCGTAGCACTGGTAGCACTGCCGAACCCGAAGATTGCCGTCGTACGGCTCGCAATCGAATATCTGGGCCTCCCAAATAAGCCCTTCGGAGCATAGTTCCATCGCCGCCTCCACGCTATCCACGTGTAGTATCAGGGCCGCATACGGTGCTTGCGGCGCCCGGGGGAGGTTTCTTTTAGCCTTAGAGAGGTGCTTTGTATTGTCCCGCTTCAGGTCTTTAAGTAGCTGGCTCTCGTCGTGGACCTCTCGCAGCCGTTTCGCAGGCAGCCCCTTCGCGATCACTGCAACTTCTCTGCGGTTGAGAAGTGCCTTATCGCCGAAGGCACTACGCACCCACCTGCTGTCCGTGGTCGCCGCTGAGGCCGACTGCTTAAACGTCACTACGGTATCGCCACTGCGCAGCCTGCGGGCCGCCACTGCATCGGTGCTGCCGCGTGCACTGTTCACCGCTTTTACGACCTCAGCCGCCGATCTGTTCTTCATATTAGGGTCCTCTGTCCCCCGGATCACTACCTCTCTCTCCCTTCGCTGGGGCACTACAACCCGCTGCTGCCACACTGGGGCTTCACCGGGTCCCCGTCCCTGGGCCGATCCTGAGGCGATTGAGGCCCAGGATCGAGTTGTAGGCAAGGCCACGTTCTTCACCGTATCCTGCATGGTCTTCTCAACCATCGTCTGGATCGCCGCAGGAATTTCGGCAAGGGCCAGAGTCACTGCCAGTACGTCGGCATGTGTGGCGGGTCTGTCGCCCCCCTCCTCCAGCGTCCTGCCGGCTAGTTTCAACCCCAGCCAACGCTCCATCAAACCCCCCATGACCTCAATCTTCTCACGTGGGACCAAGTCGGCAATCTCTTGTTCTACCTTTTGTAGTTCTCTTCCGATCCCTTCCCTCTCTGCGTTCTTTCTGCTGGTGCGCTCCACGTTCGGTGCGTGGGCACTTTCGTTGGCGTGGGGGTGGTGAAAACTCTGTTCGAGTCCCGCCCGTCCCCCGTCGATCACCATCGGCGCCGCCATCGCTTGCGTCCTCGCTTCGCGTGCGATGCGAGGTCACTGTCCGACGTAAACGGTCGTTAGGAATCGAATGCCGCAATCGGTTTGATGATTTGACGCTGTTCGAAGAAGTTATCGATGAAAGTCAGAAATCTCTTCCCATGATTCCGAATATTAGGAACTGTCTCGGCACTATGAAGGTCCGTGTAGGACCAATCCCGACTTGGCCCCTGGCGGGTCCGTAAATACTACAATCCGTGCCTGACTGCCTTGTACCCGTCCATATCGGAGGCCATACTCGTCTACACCTAGCTCATCGAACAACATCCTGTTTGGCTCATTTTCCATGAGCATGATTGAGTGAGCAACCTCCAATTCCAGCTAACTTAAAGGCTATCCCCATAACCTGGTCGTGAGACTTTAGAGGCCTGCAATAGTACCACTTGCCACAGTAACAGCCTCCTCGGCTGAAACACCACTTCCTCCACTCACCGAATCCAGCCACAAAAGAGCCTTGTCAACCAAAAGTTCCCATGCATCCTTTTCATCATCCTTGCACCGCCGCAACCAAGCAACAACACAGGCTGTCGCCACAAAGCTGTTCTTCGGCTCAACGCTGGCCAGGGCCTTTTGGCCACGAACATCAGAAGAAAAGGTCGAGAAGAGAGAGTTAGCGTCCCACTTCATCAGCTTCTCCAGCTCAGCGGTCAGTTCCCAGTAGCCCTCGAAGTGATGGAGACAGGTGAGGGCCTGAAGAATATCGGTGGGAACATATTCAGCGAGCAAGTCGGTATCAGGCGCACCAGGGTGCACAGAAGCCATTTCTGGATATGCAGTTGTCGACTCCGTGCATGGGCCAGCACTTGTAAGACCGGTTTTACCGCCAAGCAGACCGCTCGTAGGAGTAGCGCTGTGGGGCTCCGATCTGCGTAAAGATGCAAGGTTCACGTCAAGTTTTGCGCTACCGAACAAGGAACCACCCCTAGTTGATGGAGCATTCTGCTGCTGAGTTTGAGCCTGGGTTTGTGCTTGTGGCTGAAGAAAGGAACGAAGCATACTCGCAGTGCGTGCAATGCGGTTGCCACTTGCTTCAGGGGAGGCACCTGGTAATGCAGATTTTGCAGACTCGGTATCAAAATTTGCGGTCCGAATACCGCTCGCACAGCTTACTCGAGGCGCTTGAGCCATCTTTCTTTTCGCCCCAAAGAAGGTACCTCCATTAGAAGATGCTCGGGTCCCGTGTCCTGACGTCGCATAAAGGTTGGTTGTTACGGGCAATGCCTCCTCTGATAGTACGCTCTGATGCTGAGCAGCATTGCCCTTTTCATCCACGGCAACAAAAGAACACCACTTTCCTCCGACCTGATACTGGACACCCAAGCGGACCCCCTCACGCTCGACCATATCTGAGAACTGCCCATCGTATTTCTCCTTCAGAAGCTGGCCGTCCGTCGTTTTGGCATGGAAGATCCAGCCTCGCCCTTCTTCGAGGTCAGTCACTGCCTTCTTGGTGGCGAGTTGGTGAATGGTCTCGCCCTTTTCTTCAAGAGTAGTAATGGGTATCTCCAACTCCACAGGTCCATGGACTGAACTGCCGCGAATAATAACAGACTTGAGCGTAGACTGAATTGTGTCTGCCGAAAGCAAAAGGTAGAAGGTGCTGCGGTTGAATGGGAAAAGGGGAGGAATACTGAAGGGTGCTTGAAGAATCTTCGGGCATTTCAGGGGTGGCAAATGCGAGTGATGGTCTTCGGCATTTTGCGAGGCGTTCCCCGTCTCGGTATTAGGGTTGATGGAATCATCAAAGAGCGAGATTGGCGCCTTCTGTGATTCCTCTTGGACAGCCAATGGAGACGTGAGGACACCGGTTGAGCTCACTTCCAAAGCCGCAACCTTCTCAATAATTTCGAAGTCATCGTTGCTGAAATCTTCCGAGTGGACAGGGCTTTTTTCGTATTTGAGTTCCAGCGAGCGGTCCTTGATATGGGGAAACATCGCGCCCTTCAACATTCGCACGACCTTGCTGCTCAAGTTCTCGCCCGCTGCCGCTGATTGCGAAAACCCGTTCCCGGCACGTGCAACACCCTCTATCAGGGAATGACTAACAGCTGATCCAATTCCGAGCGTGAAGACACGTATTGTGTCTTTACTGGCTTTGACTTCATCATTGACAAGGTTCATCAGCCGATCCTGCTGCCAGATCTCACCGTCGGTAAGGAGGAAGACCTCGAGATTCATGTCGGTGTATCTGCGCTTGAAGGTCTCTTCCATAGGCTCGTACATTTCCGTGCCGCCGTAGTTCGCAGAGAATGTGTCAATGTGCCGCATGGCCTGATTGACAGTTGACTGTTCATAGGTGCGCGATCGGTCCCATAGAAAATCGAATTTTGTGCCAAAGCTGCATATGTTGAACTTGGTCCCGACGCTGAGGGACTTGACGAAGAGACGTAGAGCAGCTTGGAGGTTTTGTATCTTGTTATCATGGCCCATGCTTCCACTCCGATCACAGAGGAAAACAATTTCAGGCTTTTCAGCCGGAAACGTGAACTTTGGGACCAAGGTGGCCATCAATGCTCTCTGGTTTGGGATGGAAGGATGCAATTCTAAAATAGCCTTTGGGTTGCCAATATTGGTCGCCACCAATTGTAGAACGAAGTCCTTCTCAAGCTCTGCAGTGCTCAGGGCAAGAGTAGCGGATGCTTTTTGGAAGGAAGGCTCCGCATTCGGGGCTACGGAAGTCCTGCCTAAAGTAACAGCAATCGGATGCGAGGGCGACTGGATGGAAGTGATGTGAGATCCGTCTGGAACTTGGGCGTCGACCGTGATCTTAATCCCACCTGACGAGGTTGGTGTCGCACTGGCCAACTCGACAGGGTAGTCGCCGTAGCGAGGGGCAATTCTGGTGGGGATTGTAAGCCGGATGCCGTCGACATGAGCATCGTGCTTCAGCTCGCCGAGGTAGGTGATGTTGACCTCGATGGTGGCCCCAGCAGGTACGTTGCCTACCGTAGTTGTGAACACATCGGAAGCGTCGGGCAGTCGTTCAAAGAGACTAGCCGTTTCACCACGAGAGATGGCAGCATCGTAAGCCTCTCGAGCTTTCTGTTTCTCCTTGACCACGCCTTTGATTACGCGATCGCCGATGGTGCAGACAAACCCTACTACACTGACACCGTCGAAGAGAGGGAAGGTATAGCGGATCTCCGTAAGTGTGTTGGTGGCATCGGGATTGACGAAGGTCTGTGTAAGAGTCGTCCGCGATATTGACGAAATAATAGTCGAGTGAGCCTCTAGCTTCACCTGTGGTAGGTACTTCCGAACTCCTCTGATAGGTTCCAAGAAGTAGCAACCACAAATGTAGGGTTCAGTGCTCCCCTGGTGCCGGAATTTATAAATCATGGTCAGACAAGATCTCGTGAGCCGGGTGGTAGGTTTCCGAATGGTGGCTAGTATGGATAAGTAGCAGATAGGCCGGTGCAAGGTTGAGTGCTGTAGAAATGGAGGGTTCCCTACTAGCACCAGAATTGGGATTGTCAAATTTCAGATATGAGACGGGAATATTGTTGTTGTCAGGCTGACTTCAAAGATGAGATGCCGGGCTATTCTTAAGTACTTCAGTAGGAGAGCCAAAGCGGCAGCCTGGTTGCCTCTTTCGCGTATTAGACGACGCCATGTGACTATGCCGACTGCGCAAGCAAGAAAGTGGTGGATCGGGATCCCTCGGTGCCTCGCCGATTGGCTGAACCGTACCTCAGACTCTTGACTTGGTGTGGGACCTAGAAAAAGCGAGTAGCGTGGTTGTTTAGAAGAGGGTCTGGCTTGTGAGATAAAAATTTTGGTTGCTGCTTTCGTCAACTTGCTAGTTAAGGATGTCACTTTCCTCTTCATCACTTGATGGTAAAAGACTCGAAGAGAACGGTCAAGCGTGCTTAATATCACATCTCTGACTGTGCGCTTGCTTCCTCTGTGTCACCTGGAGCAGAATGTTTGTTTGAATCTCATTGTATGATGCTCGAATGGTGTATGAATGTTGCATTTGCCATGTACAAAACATCCATCCACCCCACATTTGCAACCGACTTGGCGGGGCAAGTTCCTGTTGGCGGCCTCCAGCAGAGGAAGTCCAAGCCCTGCTGCCTGCTACCCGAGGCAAAACTCGTTGCCAATTTTTCAACCCAACACTGGTTAGTTCAGATCGTGGCTGTCTGTGGCTGTCTGGAAGAATGAGCAGAACTCAGTTGGTTGGAGTCATATCGATCAAGCAATATGAGAGGTCAGGCAGCTTCACTGGGGTTTCACTGCTGCAGTCTGATGAAGGTGGTGTAGCTTCAATGTAGCTCGAAATGACACTGATTGTCGTACAACAACACCATGGTAAACAGGCGACAACATGCATATAGGCACTTATATGAGTATCCCAGAAGTTTGCGGCAAGTCGCATGTAAGGAGAATAGTATAGTATCATCATTATGGGTTGACTCTTCTCCACCTTCCACCTGGGCGCAACATTTATTCTGTTTACTGCTGCGCGTGGACTGCCGCCAGAAGCAAGCCTACCTGTCGTTGCTGCCTGAAGGTGCAAGTGAATACCCAAAGTCTTTATCCCGAGGCCATCAAACTCGCTAATTCAGTATTGGAAGGGGGGTGGTGGTGGTTGTCGAACGTCTCTCCTGCGAGCTTCCTAGTTCGCCGTGCACTGCTGCAGTGGCTAGAAGCCTCGTCAACTCAGCAAAGAACCATTGTAAGTAGTGATGAACTACTTTTTAAAACCTAAGGCTCGGTATGGTGCAGAGCAATATTCATTGCGATGGGCAGGTACATGAAGAGTGAGCCCTACAGAAATTCCCAAAGGGGTAATTACCATGGTTTGCGGGCCAATCAAGCGTCTTCGTCTTCCCTAGTCGGCGCTAGGGGTCGGCTTGACAAGGAGGGTGCGACGAACAAACATACAGTTCATTGCATCCACTTCCGATGTTCTTTGATATCCAATCATAGAATATCCGAAGCCTATATGTAGCTTACGAAAGATTTTTTCCTCTATTTATGCTCTTATTTTGGCCGAATACATTTGGGTTCAGGGATATTTTGGAAGAACGCCTATGGCCGCGAGACTACAAGCGAATTCCTTGCGGCCACGGTGACATCGAAATGCTCAACGGAGTATGGACACACCTGGCCCATGGATCGATCACAACGCCCCCTACGGCTGGGCAATCGTCGTCGCAGTCGACCGTGCAGGTTGAGGCAGCGGCTATTCCTGGGCCCGCGCCGCGCGCGGAGTCTAATTCGGCCCCAACAACTACTACAATTAGTACCACGTCCTCCAAGAAAGCCTAACTTCGCCACGATCCGAGCACTGCGGCTCGTCCATTGGATGACAACCAGTCTACAAGTGAGGGGTTCGGACCATTAGCGACGACGACGAATCCCCGCACTGTGAAGATCTTGGAGTAGAGAAAAAGGATATAGACCTTCGAAAGACTAAGGCTGGGGGTCTAAAATATAGCGAGGTGCAGAATAGCCAGGGTCAATCGGTCGTGCGCATTAGAGAAAGCCCAGCCTCTTGTATTTCTCCAGACGCATGGTTTCGGTCCAGTTCGACTTCCATTGGGGTATATAATTGCATAAGGTCCTCGAAGAAGTTTATGGCTGGACCGTTTAGGGCCAGTCAACTAATTCACAAGCAACTTCCATGTTATCTAACGTCCCTGAACTAGATCTATTGATCAAGAATTTATTATGGTCAATTATTCAAAGCCTCAGACTTCAGAATAAGTACCAAGGTAATTACTTGGGTGTAGCAAGTCACGAGCAGGCAAATCAGGTACTTACCTGCCCATATGGACGATCAGCTGTCACAATGCTGCCCAGCTGGCCGACTGTCGGCTAGTGGCGCAGTCCCACCACGTGATTCTTGACAACAACTTCGAGGCTCTTCGCCGGACCTTTCAGTCTTCAATTTTGGAGCAGCGCCAAGACACAATCCTTCTCGCAACGAAGGGCCATGCCACTTCGAATATCGAGTTGCCTGAACTGGCCTACTCGCTGCCATGATGTCATCTTCCGCACCCCAGAGCTCGCAAAGCAGCCCACAAAGTCCACAAGTCTGCCCACTCATCCCGTCTCCACTTGAAGGGGGGCCCAACGGCGGTGCTCCCTCAGCCACCGCAGAAGAGCTCTTGCGTTCGCTTCAAACCCACGCCGCAGACAATGGCTATGCCATCACGCGCAAAAACGCAGCTAATTACCGTGATGGCAAACCAACGCGGTACACCATCTGCTGCGATCGCGGCAAGAAGCGCGAATCACGGAGCAAGGGCATCCGCCAGGTAAAGACACGCCTCGACGGCTGTGAGTTCCGCGGCGTTATCAAGGCTGCTAAGATCGACGACGGGAAGTGGACGTTTCAGGTCAAGAACCCGGTGCACAATCATGGGCCCTCCGAGAGCAAGGCGGCTCACGCGGTGCACCGAAGACTGACTAAGGAGCAGAAGATTTTGGTGTCGGCGCTCTCGAATAATGGGATTAAGACAATGGGGATCATGAAGTCTCTGCAGGAGCATTATCCCGATATTGCCGTCAGGTCGAAGGATATCAACAATTATGTTCAGCAGCTCAAGCAGCCCAAGGAAGCAAAGTCTGAGGGATGAGGCAATTTGGCATAGGGTGAATATGGTGGAAATGACCTGGAATGCGCTCATCCACAGAACACGATCCTCCAGAGTGAGAAATCCGGTTCGATTGACATGGCTTTGTGCTTGAAGGGGTCGGAGACAGCGTTTCAGGCGAAGGTCCTAACCCAGCAGAACACGAGCTCCCAGATGGTCAAGGCACTTACGGAGTCCAAAGAAATGTAGGACAGCTTAATTCCGTTAGTGCGACAACATCAAGCTTGCGCAAGAAAATCAGTTCTTGAGGAATATCGTGAAAGAAATCCACCAGTTGAAGACTAGAAATGGGTGTTGACCACTGAACTCAACAGCGCAATCGAGCAACATAGGACAATCTTTGAGCTGACGCATGAAAATGCCCAATTGAAATGAACTCGCGGAGACCCAGATCATCGCTAACGACGCTGTTGTATTGATTCAGGATAATGACAAGTTTTGATCTGACAGGAGAAGCTAAAAGTCAGAGTTAAGGCGCTTCAGGACGATACGAACGTTTGTGCTCAGTTCACTTCGGCCAGCATTAACTGGTCCTGAAATTTCCAGCGGCTTTTGGAGAGGAATTTGACTCGGATGATAAGGATGAGTCTATCTTGGGCTGAGATATGCCGCAAAACGGCACAAGGGTGTGGGTAAGTCTACGGATACGTACTGAAAGGGCAACAGGACACAGCGTGGGGACAAGAAAATGACCCACGACACCTTCCACATGAATAATTGGAGGTGGGAATCCTTAGTCTTGTTTGCATAATAAGTTACCATTTATTATTAGTGTAGAAAGCTTTGGTGCCACGATCGAGTGAAATGGAAGTCCTTAATTGTGCCAGACCCTGCGAATACCTCAATATAGATATCACGCACGACTAGACACCATACAGGACCACTTGACTAGATCTAGCTATAGAACCGGCAAATTTTATACCACTAGAAGTAATTCCGAGAGCTTAACGCATCCGTCGTCAAAGCTGTAAAAAAGGCAACTATGCTGAGCAGCAGGACTCTTGCCAAGTCACCGAGTGGTCGACGAAGTACGCTACGGCGTTCCGAATTCGGATTCGTTGCTGCATAACATGGCATAAACCACAGGATTTCAGCATGGGATTCCAATATAGTCATATTTTAGAAACCCAAAGTAATCCTCGGATTCTAGCCAGTAACCTCCTGTGTGATATCCCCACCATGCAAATCACTTCCAGGAACCTCCACAACCTGCGTACCTCGGTGCTCGACGTTGATACGCGGTCCCTTGAACCACTTCCTACCGCTCACAGCGAAGTGTGAAATTGCCAATGTCATGACGCCGCCGTATATCACACACGTCCAGTTCATGGTCAGGGGCGTGAGGTCGTCACCCCTAACGGCCGGGAAGCAGAGAGCTGGAGCGATCAGCAACCACCAGGCACATGCCACCACATTAGTAGGCTTGGACCATCTCCCTAGGTTCCAGGGGCCTCGCTTGAACTGGCCGCGGTCGAAGAATAATTTCAGAAAGATGGGGCCAGTAAATGATGTGTACTGGGCAATGGCACCTATGATAAGTCAGCATTGGCATTCGTCTCAGGTATAACGCAGGGAGGTCACTATACACACCAAGGCTAAACACAACCCCAATAGCGACGGGGCTCGCAAACATCAGCAAACCCAACAAGGCGCTTACCGCCAACACACCCCAAGTCGCAAACACAGGCGTCTTAGTTCGACCATCAATCTTCCTCCACCACCTGCTCCCAGGCAACGCACCATCCCTCGCAAATGCAAAAACCACCCGAGAAGCCGTGACGGTGACTCCTGTTGCGCCGAAGAACTGGGCCACGATGCTGAGAGCGAACAATGCCAGTCCCGCCCGCGGGCCGAGCACCTGCAGACACAGGCTGCCGAACGGCTGGCCGTAAGCGCCAGATACAATGTCGGTGACGTCTTTCACGGTGTACACGATGACGAGAATGATAGCCCAGCCTAGGTAGAGGTCAGATTGAGCCGTCATGATGATAGCGCGCGGAGAGGCGATGTTAGCGTTGCTGCATTCTTCGGCTAAGTGAAAGGGGGCGTCGTAGCTGATAGGGGCGAAGAGGTCAATTGAAATCACAAAATCTGGAAATAAGCCATGATACCTACCCACACAAGGTCCAAATGGCGGTGAGAAACCCTGGTACAAATATTAGCAAAGGCCTCTAAGATGCAACTATCTCCGAATGCTCACCCATGACAGTTGCCCAGCCAATAGGCCATTGAGTCCCATTCTCAAACTCGGTCCAGACTGCGCGACTGTCGTTGGTTTTGGGCGAGTTAATACTGCCCACCGGAAGGCAAATTACGAATACAACGACAATAGCTATGTTATAAATAGTCCCTATTTTGTTCACCCAGCCAACGAACATGGTTGACTGCATCGTAATGAAGCCACTGAAGATCAGCAGAATCAAGAAGGTGAGATACATGTGCCACGTCTCCGGGATGTAAGTCGGGTACGCAATTTGGCCGCATGTCATCAACATGGCGGCTTTCAAAGACGATACAAAGTCAGCATTCCATCCCTTTCAAAGTTCATTATACCGGTTGAAGGCTTACCCATCGCATAATTTAACGAACACGGCCCTGAAGCATACCCGCAGATATTTGACCACCCAATAAACCAACTACAGAACGGACCCCAGCCATCGGGTGCGAGCACCGCTGAGGCATAGTAGAGCCCGCCCGCGGTCGGTATCGAGGAACAAAGCTCCGCCATGCTTAAGGCAGTGGCCTGCGTGCACAGCGCCGCGATGAACCATCCCCAGACTGCGCCACCCGTGCCTGAGTAGCCTAGGCTGTAGCCGATGGTGGAAGCGATAGAGGGGAGGAGACAGAGGCAAGAGAAGGAGGTGGAGAAGCATTCCCAAAGGGAGAAGTCCCTGGGGGTATTGTTAGTATAGAGTTTATATTGCCGTTGGCGGAGAGAACTGTCACGGTGCACCTCTTGAATTCCTGCTTGTAACCCAACGCTCCTAGCGTCTTCTCATCTGACGTCACATAGTCGTCGAGTACGGCGTGTTCATGGGTTCGTCCAAACACAGAAGTAACAGGAACCTCTTCATCGTCGGCTATTTGTGAAATGTGTCGTACCGTCATGATCGGAAACATGGAATGATGTAGAGAAGAAAATTACGACGAAAACTTCAATCCATATGATAAGCGTTTTTGTGCTTAGTCCAAACGATAGCTACATATCGGCAGTGCTACCTCCTGGGCACACAAGTAGCTAGTTGCGGAAGAGACAGATACTGAAACCTGCTTGATGTAGTATCACCTAGTGCTGCATATAATCGAGCGGGGTTTGCATTGGTCGAAGAAGTCAATATTTTCCGATTGTCATCATTGATGAGATAAGCGATTGGTCCAAACATCAATCCTTCATGGTCTAGGCCTCTGCTCAATTATTTCGAAGTAGAGCTTGGATGACAGGGCGTAAAGCAGGCCTAGGTGGTATATTACGGTCGTCCATTGAGTGTCCCTGAGTACATATACACGTGCTGAGTGGGGTATCTCGTAGTCTCAGTAATGCCGTGCTCCCAAACCCTATATGTCGTAGTTCATCTCCTGGTCAAAGGTAGACCGGCTGTCAGGGGATGAGTAGTATAAATAGGGTCCAGTCCCCGTAATGAAAAGGGGAAAAGAAAAAGAGAAATTAAGAAATTTGGAAGAAGAAAAACAACCTGAAAACCGATTGTTCAGTACAGAATGGTGTCGGCCTCAAGCGCAGGTGCAGCCCCCCGCCCCCCCCCCCCCCCCCCTTGGCGATGATGGCGTCAGCCTTATCGACGGTGAGATTTAGGGCAAGCGAATTGGAATCTTTGTATTTGCCCTTCTAGATCCAAGTGAACTCAGCGTCGGTCTTGACGGCACGTAAGGTAGCCTCGACATTGACGTCAAGCGGGAAGGAAGTGAAGGAGTTGCCGATACAGTACTTCTTAACCCGGCACTTGAGGTTGGCAGTGGAGAACTTAGTGATGATTTCACTCTCGAGGTCTTGGTGGCCAGTGTTCTCGGAAACCTTCCAATTAAGGTGCATTTGGTCTTGCCGAGGGAGGGAATTCCGGTCTCGTCTTCGATGGCGAGCTTACTGCTGACATTCCACTGGTCTGTAACGGTTAACGAGTGCCTCTGTGTGTTGGCGTCGGTCGAGTTGCGCCAGGGGGTCGCCAGGGAGTTCCAAATGGCAGCGGCTGAGGCGGAAGGGTAGAAGGCTTGTTTTAAACCTTCGATTCGTTCTTATGGGTCCTAACGTCATTCGGGAAATTTTCCAATTTGGCCCACACTGCTCAAATACAGCACCTATTTCCAAAGAGTCTTTCTAACTCGTTGACTAGAAAAATTGTTATGAGCTACGGCGTTTCTCTGTTCTAACCGCACGTGTAACCAGTCCGATAGGAGTGTTGTATACTAAAGTCCGACCAGGCAAGTAAACTTTCGGCCTTAACCTCGTTCTCAATTTGGAATCTTCTCTTACATGTATCTGAAATACTGATGACTGGCTCATTGATGACTTTTGGGTATATCTCAACACACAACTCCAGCACCTCAATGGGGAGGTTCTCATAGTATGCCGCGGACGCCATGTCCATATTGCAGGCGGCATTGTGCACTTCCATCCCGCTATCGATGAACCACTTGATCGTCTCTACGTTCTGCCTCTGTGACTCCTGTGTAACCAAACCAGTCGTCTTAAGACGGGGCGCTGCGGATGCCCCCACATAAACACTTCGCGTTGATATTGCCATACCGTTCTATAATGAGCTTTGCACATATTTCACGCGGCCTTCAAACCCGTTTTGGGTCCAACTACCGTCAGAAGGGCTTAAATAGATCTCGCGGAGGATCCATCAGACGTTCGCTGCTACTTGGGAACTCAGTATCCCATTCTAGTGTTGTGGGTTTATTCCCGTCTCGTAACTTGGTGTCGGTGCCGCGTTACAGCAACATATTGATGACTTTTTCTGTTTCACCATGCGTCATCGCCCGCGTCAACGGTGCGCTATCCGCAGAGATACCGTATCTGGAGTTAACATTCGTCCCAGCTTCTTGCCACTCATAGCAAACAGAGATGTTGAGGCTCTCACTTTCCTCCCCGCTAGGAGATCATATCAAAGTAACAAGACTATATACTAACGATCTAATACTTATGAGGGCGTTTTAATAGGAGATGATACGATTTATTGTATTCTGTAGAATTTCGGGTTGGGAGTGAGGTTCAATTCCCTACAGGCTGCTTGTCTGGACAATCTGAACTATATACATAGGTAGAGTTTTACCCGCCTCCAGCGCTGTTTCAGATGCATTTCGGATACCTGTATATCTCCAAGCGAGTGCAGTACTAGATACTAAATATTGCTGACATATTCAATAAAAAATATTTTCAGTTGCGACATGTTATGTAATGTACCTGTTGAAATATATCCCAATCATATTAGGCAACCTGTCGAAGTTGGTGCGTTGCACAGAACCGTCAATTATAAAGTGAGTGTGATAAATGATTGAAAAACTTCCTCATCTCGAATAAATATCTCTTCCAGACCTTCTTCTCATGCGGCTTGAACGTATTTTTTAATGCCGTCGGGCTCTGGTCCAGCATATCCTTCCACCTATCCCGTTGAAGTTCGTCCAGCTCCGCGCACTTGAGCCAGTCCTGCTTCATGGAAAATCGCCAATACCCTTGATCCTGCGGGCAGTCCCTGGCAGATTTATTCAGATGTGAGATTCTTTGCCGTTTTTCTTGCAGTCATTGCAAATGCCTTTCTTGACGTTATTTTTCACAATCCTGTAGCGCTGGCATGTTTCGCGGCGTTTGACAGCATCGAAGCACCACACCCTTGTAGATGTGTCGTGATGCGGATGATGATATTCGCAGTTGGTGCAGACTTCATTCATTTGATGAATAGAGCACAGTTTCATGTCGTGTAGGCCGTCGGTTGTCTCGTTGGCCGCTTGAAGGAAACGACAAAAGAAAGAAAGATTCGTCCTCAGGTTTTTGACTATTTAGAGCCAATTGATTCGGTGGATTAAGTTATTGTGTATTCCAATCTGTTCCAATCTGTTCAATAATTCTAACTGAAATAGCGTATCGTCACGCCATCACGCCATCACCCTATCACTTTCCTTAACGAAGACGTTTGTCACCAAGAAGAATAGCTCCAGCGCCGCTCTGCCGCAAGTTTAGCCGGCCCTTGAGCCATCTCCATCCTTCAGCAATAAAAAACCATTCTTGTTCGTCCCCCCATTGAGAGACACTGACCCAGCCCTCCTCTTTCTCGAATCCTGCCTCGCCAATTGCCTCTGGGCCCGCTTGCTGCCCACGACAACCTCTCCACTCTCCTCTTCTTTTGCTATCTTCACCTGAGACTCCAGCAATATGTAACCCTTAGCCAACAGCTCGTCTTCGCCTTCCCTAACAAGCACAAAACTCGGCCACACGGTGGCTACGGCATTGTTGAGTTCCAGCTTCAGCTGCAAAGCCTCATGAGTCGGGGTGGTGGAACCACCATTCGCGTTTGCACCGTTCCCATTGTTTTGTACCCTCTGATCCTTGCTCGTCTGTGACGGAAGAGACACCGTAGTCCAGTGCTCCACAGGCGATGCGCTCGGCTTCATCATTGCCTCAACCTTGTCACTAAGCTGTTGAATAAAACGCCAGTGCTCAACGACTAGCTTGCAAGCTTCCCCAACAGCGTTCTTGAACGACTTCTTCTGCCCCTCGAAGAGCAGAGACCCTAGGTTTCTATCCATCTCGGACACGACGTCCTCGATGCACACCTTGACGTTCTCATTATGTTGCTCAGGGAGGGTCGCCAACAACACACGGCGGAGATACGTCTCTCGCGGTGCGTCCTCCTCGGCCAACTCAAACATGACGTCGGAGAGCTCGCCGCCGGATTCGAGGAGGTACGAAGAAAGAAAGACGTGTTGGTGGAAGGCATAGGCGAAAAGGGCCACGCAGGCAGAGATCCGCATGTGTTTGGCGGCTGCCGAATTAGATGCCGGCAGAGGTATTCGGCCGATGGCTTTGTGGCTGCGGATGCGGTCCCAGTAGGCAGTGTTCTCCAAAACCGCCTCGGGAAGGTCACCGGCGAAATAGGTTTTGGCTACGTCCTTGACTGCAGTAAATATTTCCTTCAACCGATTCTCGCTGTGGTACGATGTCAGTATGAATTTCAGGGGTGCTCGAATTGTAGATATATCCTTACACGTCATCCTTCGAGGTGGATTTCATGTTCCAGGCAAACTGCTCGTGTTCGGCCAAATTGTCGGTGACGGATTGGAGCTCGTCTCGCGTGGCTTGAAGCTCCTGGTTGGCTCTGTCAAGCGCAGCAACAGCGGCCTTCCTCTCGAAGTCTTTGCTATTGGCGGACTCCTTGAACGTGTTCGTTAGGTTGATTTGGTCTTTGAGTTTTATCTGGGAGGCCGTGATATTCTTGGCGCTCTGCTCAAGCTCCTTGACCTTTTCAGCCACCTTGGCTTGCGTCGCGGCAAGGTTGACTTTCAGAGTTTTGTTCTCATCATGAGCATCCTTCAGGGCTGCGTTGGCTGCGATCAACGCTTTTGTCTCGGTTTGCAGTCTCAGGTCGAGCCTACCCAGTGTCCGGGCGTTTTCTTCGTTAGTGATATTTTGATCCTGGATCCGCCTTCTGAGCTCAGCATTCTCAGAGATGAGATCCTTGAGGCAGATGTACGATTGGTCTGAAGCGACCGTATTGATCAACTTGAAGAAGCCATCAACAGATTCGAGCTGCTTGGGGTCCACCTGGGCTGCCATTGGTGGACGTCGATAATATCGTTCGAGGACAAGAAAAAGGACTGATATTGAGACACAACTGAATGCACTTGGTAAATTTGATGAAAGCTCTTTGTCGACATGATCGGAAATCTTTACGCTTTTATATGCCGTTTCGCCCAATGCCTCATCAGTCTCGCGGATGCTAGCTGGCCTACACACCAAGAGGGCCTCCTGCCTATGCATCATGCAACAACACATCAGACTACTGACGAGGCTATGGGAGATTGATCCATGATCCATGTGACCAATATCTTTGAAGGAGCGTGTAGTTTAGTTTCTTAAAGACGTGACCACGCAATGATTACAGAATGAAAACCCGTCTCGTAACTAAAATCAGATCGTTGCGTGATCCGAGTATTATTAGTCTTAGCAAATAGGAACTGAAGCCCTTCCCAGGCCATGCCCGCTGCTTCCGTTTGCCCCCTCGGTACGAGAATTGTTACGCATGACGCGGGGTGCCGAGCCGATAGCTATTGGTCAAGCTCCTAGTACATACTACCTGCATGGCTTTGTTGTCATATATGCCTTCACAATGAAGCTATTGGTTGCCTTGAACCTAATTACAGGCTGCGAATGGTTGTCTTTTCTGCAAGCAGCACGAATACGTCTATGTGATGAGTAGGTCCCCACTGCAGGCTTCACTGCAATACCGTCCAGCTTTTCCCATTGCCCACAGGAAACCAAATGTTAAACCTTGAGAATCAATGACAGCACTGTATCAATATCAACTTGGTACCAATCAAAATGGGGCTTTACCGAAAAATGATACGTATGTAAGCACACGCATTCGGCACGGAGATGAAACGGGACGGAGATGAAACAGCACGTATCGAGCCGAGATAACGCGCATCCACGGCATCGTGCTTCTCACTTCACAATTCATGGTTTAATCCATGCGAAACAGTATCGGGCTGCAGGAAAAACCTATCACAAGCAATTACATCCTGTCAGTATCCCATTTAAGCGCTGTGTAAATTGCGCTCATACACTGAAAAGGCGCACCAGTAACCTTTGCTGCAGCGGGGAATGATCCTCTTCCCGTTTAGTCTGTTGCCAGGCGGTTTTTAGGTACCAAGTCCTTGTTTCTTCAATGCGTTGTTCTATACAACAATTATTTAACGGAATCTTCAGTAAATATACGTTTGAACAATGTGATAATTGAAGCCAAAGGCATGTTAGCACCAGCAACCTTCATACTCTATGGACATCCTGAGGAGTTCACACGCGTTCTTTCACTCCACGTCGGGCATTCTTTTCATGTAACACCATAATATAGGCTTCTCAAGCATCTCTCAAGAATATCTCGTATCGTATATCGCCATTGAAATGCCTTGAAGTTTTTTTTTATTAAATACGCCGTAGGTGTTAACCCTCGGTACCTCTACAATTACTCCCTTAAGGGGCTATAGATGATATAGCGGGCCCTTAAGCCGCGTCGGGCGGTTATACAGGTAAACTTGTAGCCAAATGACTACTAAACCTCCTGTCCCTCCCTAAGTCTGTGCTACAACCCCTGCCTGAACTACCGATAAGTGTGGTAATGTGGCACTTAAATTCGTCCTCAGGGGTGGGATGCTGCTGATGTGCAGAAGATGCTCGACTATTTCTTGTCGCGACAAGTCGTAGTATCTGCTAATTGGGGTTCTCGTCGAGCGTATACATCTCAACCACACGCTCAAGTGGATAGACCGTAACGTGGTCTAGACGCTCACAAGAATCGCGGCGAGAGGGCGTGCTGCGCGCCTTCTATCGTGAGGGGACGGGTTCGCCGACGAGCGTTATCGGATAGGCGAGGTCCGATAAGGGGTCGGATTAACGATTCGAATTCTGGACCGGCTGTCGAGTTATATTCCGCCGACGTAGTGCTTGACGATCGACTGGCTAGGATGTTCGTAATCCTAAACTGCACCAATCTCCCCATTATCGCTAGGTAGGCGAAGTCAACATGGTGGGCAGCGCGCCGTAAGGGTTGACTAAACCCCCTTGTGTGTCAGCTGCGGGATTCGAACCCGCGACTCGTCACCGACCCAAGTGGGCGCCTTGAAGTTATTACATGGGTGATTCTGAAATTACTCAGTGTCTCTGCTGGTCAAACTGCTTGAATAGAAGATCCAACTCCTTCATCCTGACCACTGCATCATGAAGTCTGGGCCACTCCTTGTCCTGCGGCAGACTCCCCTTGGGCTTGCCGTTCGCAACCCAATCGGCGTACCTCTCATACAACTCAGCCGTGTTCCTCGTCAATTCAGGCAGTTCAGTCTGCCACTCGGCCCAATCGCCCACCGGGATATCCTCCACCTCACCCGTCTCTCGGTCATAAACCTGGATGTTCTCCCACTTCCACGCAAACGAGTGACTCGTAACCCTAATATCCCCCTTAGTCCCAGCAATCTTTAAGTCTAGACTCGGCTGCCCCTTGAAAGCACCATAAGTCGAAAATTCGACCGCTAGTGTCGCATTATCCGCCAATTCGAACTCATGTCTCCCCTTGACCAACCGTCCGTTAACCCAGAGGTGGTCCGGCACGTCCGAATGGACCTTATTAACCTCCGTCTTCCCATCCGACGACCCATAGACGATTGCAACATCCGGCCTCTCCAGGCTCATCCGACTCTGCACCGTCTCTGTATCCCACTCTCCGATTGCATGGTGTACCATGTTGATTACATGCACATACTCTACTGTGATCGAATTCCCTCCTATCTTGCGATCGAAGAAGGTTGCAAACACCTTGGGTACTTCGGGCTTAGTACACATGCCATGAAAGACGACGCTGCTGTTGAGGACAGTCCCGATGCGTCCGGTTTCCAGCAAGCTGCGGAGCGTCTGCACGGGTGGGGAAAACTGCCATTGCAATCCAATAATACTGTCGTCGAATCTTTCGCTCGCCCCTTGTCTCTGAGCTTGCACTAGCTCCGCCCCACGCTCATAGTTCTCGGCGAGCGGCCACTCGACAAATACCGCCTTTCCAGCGCGGATCGACGGCTCGACACTGTTCGCGTGCACGTCGGACCTGGTGGAGTTGACCACCAAATCGACATCCGGGTCTGCTGCGAGGGCTGCGGCGTCGCCATATGCTTTGACCCCGGAAGGGAGGCTGAAATTCTTGATTGCGGCCTCGGTGGCGGACACGGAGCTGTTGAGTAAGGCTACAACCTCGTATTTGGATTTTCCGCGTGGGGAAGTGAGGTAAGGGAGATGGGCGGAGGCTGCCCAGGAGGAGTTCGAGTTGGCTGAGAGGCCGGTGAGGGCGATGCGGATGGGGGCCATTTTTGTGCTTGCTACGGACTTGAGTAGAGTTGGGTTGTTGGGCGTTTTTTGTTGAATGTGTATTTGGTATGCTACTATCAAGTCAAATAATCTACATAAGAGAAATATGCGTCGATGTAAGTAGATGAATCGCCGGCCTTGAGACTTGAGCGTGCATTATTAAGCTAGTGAGTGGCACACATTGGTGGAGAGCCATTCGGACAAATCAAGGCGAGGATGAGGACGGAAGGATTCTTCCCACCTTTAGAGATGTGAAATACAATCGCTACTTACGAAGACTCAATTCATTATTGGACCGCCTCGGATCGCACTCAATGTGGTGTCGCACGACAGTGGGGTGAAGCACGTCATTCTGCATGAAATCTCAACTAATACTAGGAGAGGTGCCAACTGCATTGCTGAGGTGTTGAAAGACACTCGACAGGAGACATATTAGCGAATAAATTTGATTTGTCAATTTACCCAAACATGCGACTTGTTAGTGAGAGTATTCGGGTCTGCTTAAAATATGGTTCTCGCCAAACATGAGAAAATCCAAAACTGAGACCCATTCGGCACTGGACATTCCTTGATTTATGGACTCATTGGAGACCACTTCAGTTCAATTTTTTATTTGCAACCAATAATCCCGACATGAATCCCCATGTGGCTTGCACATCGCTCCGTCTCCCTCTCGTAGTAGGTTATTAGGTATATTTGGCAGAAAAACAGGAGTAGAACTTGCAAATTCACAGTGAACATACCCTGCCAAAGATAATTACAACTGGCAGTATTTACATGCTATTCAAACTCCAATACAAGGGACCATGGTTCCTTAGAGACCGGACATACCAGACCATATGACCTCACTATGTGCAACGTTTGTCAAGTTTCGATAATATGGAAGTATGTCCAACTTGAGGATGCGCCCTTTGTCTCTTGTGGGCATGGGATTGTGATGTTAGCTTGAAGGGGGGTTCCTCTGTTCGTCCTGGCCAACATCATGCAATACATGAGTACGTACTTCGCTAACATCATTTGTCTGCCTGGTGTGGACTACGTCGTTGGGGGGTTCTTACACGATATCCACTTCCAAATGTTTTAATGGCGCCTGTCATCTCGAATCTGTCTTCACCAAAACTTGTGAGAAAGGACTGAGGTAGTTAGTGGTAGGTATCTTGTTACAACTACGGCGAATTTGGTGTTCCAGTTAGATATTGAAACTGTATTGCGGTCGACTCTTATTGCTTGGACCGGGCTGGGGTGGAACCTTACTATGTTTTCTGTATTTTTTCCTTTCACCACCTCAGTGTCGAGAAATTCTTTCCCAATATTATAATATTAGAAATCCACATGACTATTTCTCGTCGTAGTCCTCCGTTGAACGCCCTTTGATCGCATCAACAGAAAGGCAGGGACCGGATTGCAGAAAATGAAGCCTGCTGAATGTACATGATCCTAATAGCCAGCTAGCTATGACATCTATTAGCTTTAGAGTAGATCTAGAGTTCATAACAGCGTCGATGGTAACAGGTACAGCATGGTCCGGCCAGACTAGGTCTACACCTGACCACTTCGCGAAAGCTTAGAAATCCTGGATTCCCGTCTCTCCTTCCAGTCGCTTCTTCTTCGCCCCTTCGTTCTCAGCTCCGCCCTCACTGACCCACTCAGGCTCCTCCTCATTGAACCATGCCTCCTCCTCATCCCTCCTCTCCAAAACATCCAGCGCATCATTCTGATCAACCGGATCATAATTAAAGTCCTCATCCAGCCCATGCACAAACCTGCACCTCAAGAATTCCTCCCACCTTTCTCGCCCTTCGTCCTTAGTCTCCGCCCACTTGGCTTCCTCCTCGAGGATGGGGAGCTCCGACTTGAACAAATCACTGCTAGGTGGCGCATTCCCACCTCCGTTGACCTTGGCGGCAGCTTCGGCGAGCTGTGTCAGCTTCGCCTCGCCGCGGAGGAGGTCTACTTCTAGGACACGCGAGTAGCCCTTGTTGCGGCCTTCAGTCTCCCGCTCTTCGGCTGTTTGGAAGCGGCGTATTAAGGCATCGTAGAGTAGTGGGTCTGGAGATGGTCAGTGGAGGAGGAGGAGGAGGAATGAATGAGAGATGATATAGACAAGGTGTAGGCATATCAGCGCAAGTGCAAAGCCAGGGGGGGGTTCCGTAGCCGCGGGGTGAACTTGAGATTCAGGGTGCTTGATGTGTGAGGTGCCGTCGCAATGGCCAACGACATCTGTGGAAATTTTCTCATGCAGGCAAACTCACCGGCAAGCTCGTGCTCTAGCGACTTGAAATACGTCGGGTGTCGCTCCAGGTACTCACGGCGCCGGTTGTGGACTCGGATCTGCGCCGACTTGGCCGGGCTCTTCGGTGGTCGGGGCTGTGGTTTGACGAAAGGCTCCGCCTGGACCGGCGATGGGTGTGTGACCTCGACGGTCGCGTCCATGATCAAGAACCAGACCACTGATGCAACGCGGAAAGAAGGTACCGGTCTTATGACGTCATTCGAGGCCGAAGCAGCAAGCTTTGTGGATTGGACGGAGGTTGCAGATGGTGAAAGTCGGCCGGAGTGTGGAGAAGTTAAACTTGTCCTCGGAAGGCGTCGGCTTTTTGAGGGGAGCATCGTTCTCGCCATTTAAACCACCACAGCGTGTGTGACAATCACATTTGCACTCAACAACTCAGCAATTCTCTCAATTATATCCATTATATCCATTTGAACCAGGTATTATTTCGGATATCGGGTTCGTACTTCAAAATGCACTTTTCTAGCTAAAGAAAAAAATAATTTGCCCATAACTAGAGTTAAGTACTCACTTACTCGATAGCTTGACGAATAAACAACAAAATGGCCTCTCAGCTGAAAGGCTTCGAAACCCTCACCGAAGGCACCCACCAATCCCCCAGCGGCTCTCTCATCTCATTCTCCCATACCCCCGCCTCAACCCACCACCCCAACTCCCCAATCCTCCTCCTTCTCCACGGCTGGCCGCAAGACCGTTACATCTGGCGCTACGCCATCCCCCCGTTATCCTCCTTAGGCTACACCCTCTTCGTCCCGGACCTTCCCGGCTATGGTCACAGCACGCTCCCCACGGCTCCCTCCGCCACCAAACACGACCGTATCACCGTCGGAACCTCCCTTCTCTCAGCCGTCAGGTCTGTTTACCCCGACTCTCCTGAATCAGACATCGTCCTCATCGCCCATGATCGCGGCGCCCGCGTTGCACAACGTTTTGCCATGGATGATCCGGAAAGCAATAGGATCCGCGGTGTTTTGCTGTTAGATATAGTCCCCTACGCCGCACAATGGGACGCCGCGGCCCAAAATCCGCGGAACATGACGGCTTACTTCCACTGGGCGTTCCTGCCCGCTATGGCGATAAGTATACCGCTGATCCGCACATACGGCGGCGGTAAGTTCTGCCGGGACATTCTACTAAAGACCGTCGGCGACAACGCGAAAGGGCGGGAGTCGTTTTTCGCCGATGGGGCGGTGGAGCATTACTCTGAATTATATCAGCAGGACAAGGTGAATGAGGGGGCGGCGCTGGATTACAAGGCAGGAAGTGAGGAGTATTGGGAGAGGGAGGTTGAGGATCGGAGGTTAGGCAGGAAGGTCGGGGTGAGGACTTGGGTGGTGTATAGTGAAAGGAATTTGAGGGCGATGCATGATGTACCTAAAGTGTGGAAGGAATGGGTTGAGCAGGGAATGTTGGAGCTTCATGGGATTGGGGAGGGGGTCGGGCATTATTTGCCGGAGGAGGCGCCAGGGGAGGTGAATAGATATATTGAGGAGTTTTTGAAGGGGTTGGGACTCTAGACTAGGCTGTTTAGACCTTGAAAGCTATGGGACTGCAACTATACCAAATGGAAGACGCATATCTTAAATAGTCTCTGGGGGCCTCTACACGGTTCAATGAATGAAGTTGGCCATCAGGTCCTTCAGTACAGAGCGGTAAGCGGTCCAATCCTTTTAAGGGTTTTGGAAGTTCGTCACGGAAATCCAACAAGAGCATAACAAAATCTTCGCAAGGTAGTATCTAGTATCTACGTGAGGTATACAATAGTGGTATTACTAGTAGAGTTAACTTTATTTATAGCACGTCGCTGCCAGAGGTTACGTTCCTGGCTACCTGTCAGGGTACGGCTAGGCCGAAGGCAATAGTACAGAGTGATGGGGAGTAACGGGCGTCCCTCCTACGTAGCACCGGGTGGTCACTGGCGGTCTCAGGTAGGGGTGCCCACGGTGATGCATTGATCTCTGCCCTCTCTATCTTCCTCCGTCTCGACTCCTTACTTATAGCCAGCCGAGGTTCTCTCTTGGATTCTGGATGTTTGCTTCCGTATGTCTGTGTTCCTCCGACTTCGGCCAATATCTTGGACAGCGGCTCCTTATCTGCAACCAAGCGATTCCCTATCCGCTGCAAACGGCTTCAACGGCTCTCATTCGCCACAAGCGGCTCTCTAGCCGCCACAAACGGCTTCCTACCTGGTGGAAGCCGGCCCGCCTCGGATGACACTTGTGGCTCTGACAACTCCTTCCCTATCCTACTTCGAGATGGTCCTTATATAGATAGCTAGGCCGCCGCTTGGACCCGGCATAACAGCAGGGTCGGCGATGCCAAGGATCTTGACTCTCGTCATCCCAAAGCTTCACATAGATTGTAATCATGATTCGGGAGTCTTTTGTCCGAAACACCCCTCCGGCGGCCCGCCGGTGTCCTGCGTTCAGTGTCCTGACACCCACTGGTGCCTATGGCATTCTGTTCTCTGACACTACCTGCGTTATTATACTAATGTATTCACTAAAAGAGATAAATACTAAAGGCGTTAGCTTAGTACCTGTAGCTACTTATCCATTAACTATTCTTTCATTCTGAATATCTCGGTTAGTGTCATATATGTTATAATTTCAAGTTTATACTTTCCCTTATATTGACAATGGGCAGTGTATGCCCGCGGGTTTAAGGTGAAGATGATCGAGATGGACAAGATCCTCAACAAGATCAGCTTTCTGGTAGGTAACGGAAATATAAATCAACAGCCTTGTCCCTCTCATTAGATCAACAAAATTACCTCACCAGGTACGAACAATCAACTGAGCCTCAACAGGCTGGGATCGATCAAATTGGATAACAAAAGTACCTCAAAAACAGCTGGAGCCTTCACACGCAAAGGGAAAGTACTTTCTACTGCTTGTCTTCTTTTCTTCCGAGAACGACTACTGAAAGAATTCAGGTCCTTAACTATCCTCGAGAGCACGCTTATTACATAATTCATCCGAAAGTCGAAAAGCAAGACACAAGCGCGTTGTCCCTATGTCAATAGTAGTTCAGGGCGGGTACTATATAATATAAAATAATATATCTAGATGCTATTTTCAAGATTAGTTGCCGTACTTTACAATACTAGTACCATTAGACTACTGTTTTGATCTTCTTATTAGAGTAATAATATATTATCTAGTAATACTACGAACTTACTACACTAGCTTAAAATCATAGACCCTACTGTTTCCTAGACAAGTAGAAGCCATCATAAAACCCGATATTGCAGTGTAGTAAACCAGGCATAACTTGATGGTCCCTTTTCACAACTTAACATGCTGGATGCTGGATCCAGCAGAGATGACAGCAACAAGACCTACAAGACCTTCTAGACTTACAATGAGGCCTATGCCTTGATATGTGTGAAGGTCAACCCTCGCAGACTCACTACAACCAGGTGACTTACAGCTGGAACACCTGCCATGGCAGTGTCAGATGGGAAGCCAATCATAACCCTTGTAGGAGCCCCGCCAAGCGTGGATGACTTAGTCGCGCTCCTTCAAACCTAAGTTGTGATCTTCTTTCCTTCGCTCCTTAGAGTAGAACCTTCGTCGATAGCACCTAATCGAGGTCTCTACCAATGCGATGCAACCCAGGTCGTGACAATATGCATCACTTATTACTCTATGTATCACTACTTATACACAGTATTAACGTAATCATACAATCAAGCGCCTAGCTTATCATGAGACCAAATATTCACTAAAAGTCGTATATAATATAGCTTTAAACGCGATAAAGAACTCGGGGTTCGTTATTTGACGACGGGCAGTGAAACCACCCGCAGGTTTAAGGTGTAAGATGATGGCAACGGACAACAAGATCCTCAACAAGACCTTAATATCCGGGAAGTGGAAAGAAATAACAAGATCAAGAACTCTTCTAGCTCTGATCAGAACAACAAGTACCTCAACAGGTACGAACAACTAGAGCCTCAGCAGGCTAGGGGAGAAACGGAGCCTCAACAGGTGAAAGATGGGAACAATGGCCTCAACAGGCACAATCAGATCTATAGGGGAACAGAAAGTACCTCAACAGGTATGTCAGACATTGAATGCCTGTCCAAGTAAAGAGAAATTGGTTCAGATTACTGTGCAAAAAGGCCGCTTGAATTCCTATCTTTTTCTCAGGAGAGTGACTATGTACATAAGGACTTAAATACCCTTCAAGAACGCGCTTACATAACTCGTCTGAAACCGGAAAAAACGAAAACGAGCACCCAAACCCCTAACCCCACGTCAATATAGTTAATATAGTACTTTATAAGTTCTTTGATATGAGGTTAAGGAACAGTGTGGCTGTGGATAGACGCCGCCGAGCGATCGGATAATCAAAAGGGGCCAAATGCGTGATACTTAGCTCGGTAGATAGAAGTTAACAAAATATCGTACTTCTTAGAATTGACTTCCGTGATAGCTAATCGCAGTCACCTTCCCTAGCATATAGCTATACGTACCTTCCAATAAAGTCTGACTCAAGTTCGATCAAAGCGCTCGTCTGTTGTTTACCTAATTATGGCAGATATCGACGAGGGCGAGAAGCGGGAAACCCGACAATTCATTGAAGGAATCCCTCCCGCTCCGCCATTACCTTCACTAGCAAATATACCACCTCCACCAGAACTGCAACCGGGATTCTCTAGCTATTCAAACCACTCTGTCATGGCAGCCAAATTTACCGCTGCCGACAAGACTCGGACGCCGGCGCTTACACAATCTACTTCCAGACCTCGCTATTTCTTCTTTTATGGTTCGCTCATGGACCCTGAGGTGTACCAGACCGTTACCAACAGCGCAGACCCGCCAGTAATGCAAAAAGGTTGGATCACTGGTTTCAGGATGAAGATGTGGGGGATTTATCCGGCTCTCGTGCCAGAGGCAGGGTCAAAGATCACGGGGACATTCTGCATGGTGAACAGCCACGACCACTTCATGGATCTTCAGGAGTACGAGACAGGGAATTACACGCCGTTCGAATGCACGATATTCACGGAAGGCGCAGATCAACTCGATGACAGCCCAACCGAAGGTTGGGCTGGAAGTCCAGCCAGTAAGGAGTTGGAGGGTGGTGTCTTCGATTTTGAGAGGTACCAAAAATATTTCAAGCCATCTGTAGTCAGAGGAGGATTTTAGAGTATTGGGTCATGTCTGCATAGGTGCAACAATCTAAATAGTTCTCACAAACGCCGGCCTAACATTGAGGCCAGCTTTCTGCAGTGCAATGAAATGGTTAAGTGTGATTGTTCCTTGGTATTAGCGCTTATGACCACAGCTCTGGTCATATCATATTGTTGCTCACTGTGGGCACCTAGAGATCCTGCGATCTGTAAATCAAGTAACCAGGTCACGCCATCCGGCGCTAATAGATTTTCCATAATGTACGTCTTTCAGTATAAAGGTTACGCGTAGTCTTAAAGTTCAAGTCCAACACACCTCACAGTGATACTGTTACCTCCGCGTTTCTCCATTTACCAGTAATCGTAACTCCAGGAGAAACTTCCGCCCCTATTCTACCCATCATCGCTATCATGCTAGGCAAGTGGTCTTTTTCCGTCAAGCTAGTCTCGTCGTCTTACATTGAAACCAGGGAAACTGCGAGCCCAGAGCCTCTGTATTTTACTCTTTGTACCAGTCACATTATTCTATGGTTAGTTTTCCGTCAGTGACCGGGATTTCACGACTGAGCTGACTGGATTAGAAGTTTGATGTTTGGTTGGATGCATCTCAGCTTCTCCTGGAATTCCAGAGATGCATTCAATATCCCTCACAGCTGACTCTGAAAATCCAGACGCTAGTGAGGCTCGGTAGGTTGCCAGATACGATGCTTTAATTCCTCAATTATTTACCGACGTAAACTTAGGAATTTGTGTTCAACTCAAACGTGAAATACCTGAATCATTGGCTTGTCACCCGTCCATAAGCTACTCTGTGGACCGCCTCGAACAGCAACCTTTCCCTCTCAGTGATCACCAAACGTCCGACATATTCCAGCTGATTTCTGTTCGACTAACACTGCAGTCCGGTGCGTTATTGTCCATATTGGCAGGAACAGGAAGTCTATACGTCCTGGGACTTGGAAGTACCGGACAGCCAGGCAGAATCGAGAAAGGTGAACTTTGAGGACCTTATTACTCCGTCCTGCTACTTTGACTAGCAGGAAGATAAGTGGAAAGAAGCGTAATCCCCTGGAAAGAGAGTGTCCTGGGGAGGAAAGAGTGTTTCAGTCGGATAACAAGGCTACGCGAGGAAGACTATGACACCCCCCCCCCCCCAAAAAAAAAAAGGATACCGCTGCTATGATTGGAGGAAGGCCTTTGCCTTGCTTGCCGAGAGGAAAGGGGAGGATCTTCTCTTTAACGAGGCTACGATGGCCGGCGATAGACGAAGCACCAAGGGACCAATGCAATCCTAGGTGGACAAGCGAGCAGTAACAGCGATGAAGAGAGGACGAAGTCCAACACTGAGATCGCTAGGAGAGGGAGAGTTCTTATAGTCGTACAGGTTCGACTGTCTCTGGGGACAGAGAAACGAACCTGGGGGAGGAATTTAGTGGGGTAAGGCAGGACATTAGGGAAATAGGTTACGGAGCAGGGAGGAAGTTTATTTTATCTTCAAGAAACACAGAGACAGAGCAGGAGATAAATCCTTTATCTCGTTTTTTATTATCTTCACTTTCGCTTTCTATTTAGTTGGTTAGTTCTTCAATTTCCGACTAACTTGCGCCTAAGGCTTGTAGGAGCTTCGCTCAAGCGTCCATCGCCATGATCTTCGTCTGATCAGACCAACAGATGGGATCTGTTGTTACTAGAGCCGCTTCGCCAGTGTGTTAGGTAGTGGGTATATCCTACCGACCGCCTGACCCCGTTTCAATACTAACTATACCAAAGATTATAATATATACGAGCTAATAAGTAGATTCGTATTAATTTCGCGTATTTTACTAATTTATTCCTCTCTTTACTACGCTCTAGCTATAATAATGTTTGAATACTACAGCAGAAGCCTCGCCAAATTCATCTATGCCGACATACTTCCTAAATAGATTTAGCCCGAGACTCCAACCATTTCTCCTCTTCCTCTATGTTCCGTTGTCCATCAAGATACTCGTCAAGTAGGCATAGGCACCAAGTATCCACACGCATCAAGTAGCCATAATACTCCGACCCCCATCCATCGTTAGTCTCGCCCTCACCCGAACTCTCAACACATCATGAGCAAGCCTCTTCAGCGCAGTTCGACTTTTCCCATAGGCATCCTTCTGATTCTCCAGACTGACAATAGCACTAGGCGCAAAAACGAGCGCCTCTCCCACCTTAAGCGCCACGATCCGCGAGAAGAGCTCTAGGGTGGGATTCTCCGACGTAACAGTGACACCTCTCAGTCCGTCAAAGACACTATCTTCGAGCTGCTCATCTGACCCATCGAGCTTTTTTGCGATTTTAGACGACGTGGATATGCCAGCCAGATGGCGCTTGAGCACTTGGAGCCAGTCGGGAGAGGTGAAGCGGTGCACGAAGGTGATGCTGCAGAGGTCGAGGAGCTTGGGTGAGATTGTGGGTTCTTGAGTTGAGATGATAACCCGGGCGCCAAGGTGGCGTTGCAGGCGGATTGTCGCGAGGAGCGAGTTCGTTAGGGTCTGACATTCGGCCGATTCGCCCATGTACTTATGCGCTTCGTCGAGTGCGACTACTCGGCCGAGGGAAGAATCTTGTTCCAAGAAGAGCGAAAGACAAATGTTGAACAGGGAGCAAGCCATTTCCGCCGTTACGCAAGGGCAAGAAAGGTCCACAATGATTAGCTCTCCTTCCTGTTGTAATGGTTAGACTCAACCGACGAAAATAAGTTTTTCGGGCAACACTTGCCTTTGGGATCCAGTCAGTGGCTTGCTCTCGCGTCTGCTTAGACTTCATTGTGCCGTGCAGACTGAGCTTGCGGGTAACCTGCTCATGAAACATGTAACTCTCAAGGGTGTCCAGGCGCTGCTGGAGAGGTGCGCGTTGCAACGGAGTCAGGTCAGACTGCATAATCATCTGCTGGAAGGTCGTGTATTTGAAGGTCGATCCTGCCTCCTGCTGTGCCATTCGCATGTCTCTCAAGATTCTTTGGACGACATGCATGTACAGGGGCATATTGCCCTCGCCAACTGCCATGAGATCAAGCATACGTTCGGTATTGAGATCGCCCTCATCGAGTTTCAGTTGTTCTACTTTCACATTGGGAAGGGCTCTGTATGTGTTCTGTGAGACGTTAGCGTTTGAGGACCGAGAGCTGAAGAAACTACAATAATTGCATATACCGTGATAGTACGAGTGTTGGTTGGTGCACACAATACTCGGACATTGACATTGGGATGCGAAGACAAATATGCTGCTTCACAAGGGGTTCCGCCATTATCGGAGATGAAAGTGTCGTAATGAAACACTATTCCCGTCAGAGGGCGCGGGAGCTTGCCCAACTTGGAGGGAATCAAGCAACTCTCCAGGAGACAAGAAAGGGAGTGACTCTTGCCAGAGCCTTGACTGCCGCAGATGAAGACACTTGAAGGGGCCGTGACATTATAGAAGATTCTTGGATCTTCAGGTGATTTCTTGCCCAGTGAGTCGATATTACCCGCAAGAAGGGCATATTGCCGGAATGTTGTTTTATTGTATCGATAACCGAGAGCCTCGGCATGTTTCAGTACGGGCTGAGTAAACAACGGGGTTGAGACAACCTCGTCCAGGTCGTCTTTCGCAGGAGCCCGTTGAAGGAAATTCAGATGATATGACAGAAGGTCATCAGCATCAGAGCTCGGATGAGCATCATTGATGGATCGTTCAGTCACGGAAATATCTGATTCATTAGAATCTGAGCCCTTGGATGATGGCGTGCGTGAAGACGGCTCTAAGGCTGGCATGTCCTCTGATGATACGGGTGATGAGAAATATACCGGTTTTCTTCCCTTGTGCATTGCTTCTGGAATGGTATGCCCTGATCAGCGGCGACTGGCGTCACGAGTTCAGGCTGCTACTCTGGTCTTGCCTGATCGGTTGTCACGGGTCGAGGTGCTTGTGGCGTTCTGATCGTGTCGTTTATTGATGGTTGTGGTTTCAAAGCTCTGCCCAGTCCAATTGCTGGTGTTTGGGGTTTTTCTGCTCTGGCCTGATTAGTTATGACGGGCTGGAGGCTTTCCAGTGACTTCTTAGCTTGACTGGGCGTCACGGGTTGAGATGTGAAATCTTTGTGGTACTCTAGCCTCGCCAGTTGCTGAAGATTGGGCATGTGTGAGTCTGCTTGAGCCAAATAGATATGCAAATGCTGTGGGCTTATCAATTGCTGAAGATTGAAGGTATGGGAGTCTGGAGTCCACTTGAGCCGGTTTGGGGTATGGGGAGAGGTTGTGTTCTGTCTTGTTTGGTTGAGACCTTTTCTCTACCGTGGATTTTGTGACCCGACCAGGCTTGGGTTTAGGTCATGGAAGGAGTATTGGCGAAGAGAATGAGAACTGCGATTCAGGGAATGCCGTCTTGATATACCTCGACCTGAGCGCTATTTTGAACACAAGCCTGAGGCTCTGAGAAACGATGAAAGACAGAAGGCAATCGCTGATACCTTGTGAAACCACTATAACAACAAAGCCTGGCCCAGAAATTATCAGCAAGTGGAACCTCACTTCTAAAATTGCCTAGCACAACACCGTTGACAGCTTTTGTTTGGTTGACAGGAAGCGTTGAGTATACCCGTGGAACCCCGTGGAACGTGTCATATGTCGTGACTTTTCATCTCACTTCTTTGATTGCCCTGCAAGCGACTCTGACTGTTCATTATCTCTCTCAGAAGATCAAAGTATACTGCTGGAACTAGCGCGTCTGGTGAATCCTTTAGTGAGCTACAGTCGTCTCAGACAAGTGGTGGGTGGCGTTTTCCACAGCTGCATGAGTCTTTTCAAAAATTCATGTATTGAAAATTTTCAGAAGCTTGTTGGATCATATATGCCCCGGTACGGCCACACTTGTCTCATTCAGCTTTTGGCTAGAATAAGGCTCTAACATTTCTCCCGCTCTGACAGACGCGAACCGTAATAATTTCATGTTTTTCAGGAGCTCATGTCATATTTATTTTGGGACTGTCGGCACCGATCCAGACACGACCTGCCGCCGGTTGGAGAGCGCATGGGCTACGTGTCAGCGGTGGGCAGTGAGGCACGGGATGGAGTTCGCTCCTGACAAGAGTGAGCTAATGCACTTTACTAGGGCCCGAGAGCCCTTGCCGCAAAGTATTCGCCTTGGGGACGCCACAGTGTCGCCGGTAGTCTCAGCCAGGTTCCTAGGAGTCTGGTTCGACCGCAAACTGACGTGGCACGCCCATGTTGAGCGTGTTAAAACAAAAATGGCAACTCAAAAGCTAGCCCTGACAAAGCTAGTCAATATGTCGTGGGGCTGCGATCTTATACGGGCGAGGCTGTTATATACGGTGGTTATCCGTAGCGCAATCGCCTTCGGGGCGACTGCGTGGCATACTATAAGTGAGGAACCGGCAGGGCCAGCTAAGAGCCTGATGGGGATACAGAACGAGTGCCTCCGGGTAGTCTGTGGTGCCCACAAAGCGACGCCGGTTCGCCACCTGGAAGCAGAAGCAGCAATCCCGCCACTAGACCTCTATCTTAGTGCCCGGGCTGCTAAGTTTGAAGAACGGCTACGGCTTAGCGGGAAGAGAAATCTGCTTCGCAGCGCGAGCGCTAAAGCGTCACATATACTCCGGCAGGATAGGCCGGCGAAGAGGAAGCAGGCGTCGCAGCTACTCCGACCGGCAGGGTACACTATGGAGAAGGAGGCCCGGGGCTCCGAGTGGATGAGTGAGGAAAAGGAGGTCCCGGCTGCCCTCCTCGACCACTGGAGGAAGAGATGGCTCACCGGAGCAGAGCATCACGATCGCCAGCGACGCGCTATCGCTGAGGAACCGGAGGGCCCTTCGATGCAGATACCGAAAGGGGGCAAGTATTTCGGCCTGAACCGACTGGAGGCGTCTACGCTGTGCCAGATCAGGACGGAAAAAATAGGACTAGCAGCCTTCTTATTCAAGACAGGGGCTTTTGGCGTGTACTCGCCGCTATGCCGCTGTGGCGATGCCCCTGAGACGGCAGAGCACGTAATCCTCTTTTGCGGGCTGTTGGAAGGACCGAGGGAACGATTACGGGCCGCCATCGCACCACGGCCACTATACTCTCGCAGAGACCTCGCAACGGCAACAGGAGAACCAGTAGTTAGTGGGACTATTGTAAGATGGCTGCTAGGGACGGGTCGGACAGCTTCAAGGCCCAGATAGCATCGATCTTCTCAGGGGGGACTTTGTTGGTAGGTTGAGAACCAACGTAGTATGGTAGTGAACGCAACGCAGTCGCCAATAGGGCGAACCGACGACGCAGCGTATGTATTTAGTCCAGCCATTAGGGCACGGTTTGACATACGGGAGTACTAGTAGAGGTACCGGGGGCTTCGAGCCTACGGCGTATTTAATAATAAAAAAAATAATATTTTGGGACTATTGTAAGGTGGCTGCTAGGGACGGGTCGGACAGCTTCAAGGCCCAGATAGCATCGATCTTCTCAGGGGGGACTTTGTTGGTAGGTTGAGAACCAACGTAGTATGGTAGTGAACGCAACGCAGTCGCCAATAGGGCGAACCGACGACGCAGCGTATGTATTTAGTCCAGCCATTAGGGCACGGTTTGACATACGGGAGTACTAGTAGAGGTACCGGGGGCTTCGAGCCTACAGCGTATTTAATAATAATAATAATAATATTTTCTTCTGTTGCATTATTCCATGAAGATGCCGGGGATACTGTGGTGTCAGGCCGAAATATGAACTTCATGTCATGTACCGACAGGGCCAGCCCGTGCACGCAAATATGCTAAAAACAGTAAGAGCTAATAGTATCATCCCCTATCTACAGCATTCTATCTAATTGATTGTTTCATCATTAATTCTGGTGACTATTATGATGATGCCTCGTCTAAGGGAAAACAAACATAGCAGCTCCGTAAGGTCCATAAGGAGAGCCGACAACAGGTGCTAACAACTGATGCCTCCGCAGGCAGTGCCTCAACAGGTCCTAGGACTGCATCACCTCAGCAGGTGGACAGGAATGATGGACTCAACAGGCACGAGGAGATCTATCAGAACAACAAAAGTACCTCAACAGGCGAAAAGAGTCAATTAACCATAGACTTGGGCCGCTTGATTTTTTTCGTCAAGAGCGTGACTATCTACTTAGATCCTTAAATACCGTCAAGAATGTGACGGCCGGTGTCACGATGCCACGAAACCCACTAGCTGTGGACCCGTAGGAGCACTGGCCATCTGAAGGCGGGATTGAAGATCCTCAGATGTGAGCCAGCCTGTTTTAGTTTCTCTTTCTTTCCTTGTCGAGAATCGTTAAGTCAATACAGTGCATTAGAGTGTTTTGGCTCTTCAATTGTGCTCACCATGACAAAGAACACGCTTACATAATTCGTCTGAAACCCGAAAAACAACACCCAAAAGCCCTATCCCTAGTCTAGGATATTATTCTCAAACTTCTTCTTTTTTTCTTAGTGAATTAATTATATACGTAGAGTAGGCTAGACTATTGAAAATAATAGACTATATTGAGAAGTTATTACATAACAAACTAAAATAGGTGTGCGATAAAGTAGCAGAAGAAGGATTAGAGGTTCATCTTTAGAGCCTAACACAAGTTAAGTAGTAGTTAAAGTGAATTACAGTTCATTACATTCCGGGAGTATTCAATGATCTATAAGATTACTAATTACAAAGTAAAGTATTTATATTATCAGGGTTCTTGTCCTTAGAAATGGTAGTTAAGCCGTTATAGTGGGTCTTCGGGGCACATAGCTAGCTTCTCAGAATGAAGGTCGGACTTTGGCATGGTACCCGTAGGAAAGTTTCTCGGTAAGAAGTTGGTCTTACAGCGAAGATGAGATGGAAAGCTTAGCATTTCAAGAAGATACCCCACTTTCGTTGACGCTTCAGGATGCATGATCCTTGCATATGCCTATCAAATGGGGTCATTTGAAAAAAAGTTGCCCTCAGGGTCTACTATCGAAAATCAGTTGTCGTCAATCGCTTTCTACAAAATCCATCCAGCCCCAATAATAATAACCACGACAGCAACTCATCCCGCCCATATTGCTGTACTGCCAACTATCGCATCTGTGCATCCTGCCCAGCTAGCAGAAATCCCTGACCAGCAAAGTCGCCAACGCTGGCTCTGACCTAACTTGGGCAACTTCCCACAGTAATGGCTTCCTCAACCACACAACGACGCGACGGCATCCCGATACCGCGGCAGTCGCCTTTAACCCAATCGCGGGAACTAGGCGGCGCGACACCAGAAGCAGACACAACCGCAACGGCATCTCCCAAAACCGAGGTCTCTCCCTTCGCAAGCTCCTGGCCGCACTTCGTCGCCGGCGGCATAGGCGGCATGACAGCGGCCGTCCTGACAGCGCCCCTCGACGTCCTAAAAACTCGCCTTCAATCCGACTTCTACCAAGCACAACTACGTACCGCCCGCGCCGCCTCGGGCCATGCCCGTCTAAGCCCCCTCCGGGGCGCCACCTACCACCTCCGCGAAACGGTGCAGATCCTGCGCGACGTGCACCGAGTCGAGGGGTCGCGGGCGTTATTTAAGGGCCTAGGACCAAATTTAATCGGCGTAGTGCCCGCACGGAGCATAACCTTCTACGCATACGGGACGGGGAAGCGTGCGTACTCCAAGTGGACCGGTTTGGACCCTACGAATCCGGTTATCCATCTAGGCAGTGCGGTGACGGCGGGGATCGTGACGGGAACGGCGACGAACCCGATATGGCTGGTCAAGACGAGATTGCAGCTCGACAAGAACGATGCCGAGAAGAAGGGGGATTTGAGTCGGAGGCGGTACAGGAATAGCTGGGACTGTGTTAAGCAGGTGATGCGGAACGAGGGGCCAACGGGGTTTTTTAAGGGACTTAGCGCGAGTTACTTGGGCGTGACAGAAAGCACGCTGCAGTGGATGATGTACGAGGAGATCAAGAGACGGTTGAGGGTAAGGGAGGAGGGGGTGCTGGCCAGTGGGCGCGAGAAGACATGGTGGGATCATACGGTCAACTGGACGGGGAACTTCCTGGGGGCTGGTGCGGCCAAGGGTTTGGCGTCCATCTTGACCTATCCACACGAGGTGAGTTCATCACCACCGACACACATGAAAAGACCGGCTGGGAATCGCGCTGCTGAGTTGATGGGCATACTGACATGAGTACGCGCAGGTTGCGAGAACACGACTACGACAAGCGCCCATGGCGGACGGAAGGCCGAAATATACGGGCCTAGTCCACTGCTTCAAGCTTGTCTGGAAAGAAGAAGGATTTCTTGGCCTGTACGGCGGTCTGACGCCGCACCTCATGCGAACCATCCCCTCAGCTGCCATCATGTTCGGCATGTACGAGGGCATTCTCAAGATCCTCGGCGCAAAGAGCTAGACAGGCGCCTCTCGACTCAACCCAACAAAATAACATCACACGCGCGAAAGCATCCGGTTCGAACTACCATGTAAAACCACATGTACAAACAAACGGAATCTTCGGCCCACCCCTTATGCATCTACCAATACCTTTCGATGCGGCTCGATCTCCACCTTCGACGAAGCTCTGCTTCAAGACTCTTCACTACTCTACTCGGCACATATACCAAGTGCACACACGCACACATTTACTCGCACATAGATACCCACACCTATACCTGCACCTGTACCATATATAGATAACTCGGATAGACACGGTCCAGGATCATTTGATTGCGGAGTTGGTCTTGAAAAGACAAAGTCCGGCTTTAATGTGGCATATTCACAGCGGCGTTTGGGGAAAGACAAACCACTCAACCGCCATGACTTGGAGGGCATGCATGAATAACAGGCCCGATTTTGGATGTAGGACTACGGACATAAAAACTGGAGGTGTACGAAATGAATGAAATAATATGTATAATGTCCTGCACTGACTTGAGATCAGATTTCAATGTCTGGAGTAGCATGTAATGATCAATTATTGGGTGGACGTGCGCGGATTATTTTCACCGTGTTTCACTCGCGTCTACATGATGGCAGTTCACCGAATGAAAAGCTCGAAAATGCGATGTTCTTTTGGGACGAAGAGAAAACCCGCCAACGCCCCATTCGTGTGCAAAACCAACAAGCCAACCATTCCTTCCGACAAGAGGAGATTTGGCCATTTGGTATATAAAGGAGAATGCTCAAGGTTCAGTTGCCGTCATCCGCCCCTATAACAGTCTTCCCAGCCAGAGCAGAAGCAGCAGCAGCTCGTCTCTGCGCACCATGCTCTCTCCCCCAACGTCGTGAGTTACCACACCCGGCCTGAATCATCATATCGTCAATTCGCTCTCCCAGTCTCCTGCTAGTTGTGATACCTTGTTCAGCTGCGTTTCAGATAGTAGAAGGTTCCTCGGCGGCCGTTTCTGCAGCTTCCGTGAGATTCGGCCAGGCTTCGACCCGTTGGTCCACGAGTCGAATAAACGAAGTCACCAGGCGTTGCGGTCCCAGTTGGGGTCTGTATCTCTGTCAGTATCATGCTCCTCTCCACATCTTCATCCTACTCCAGCTCATCCATCCATAGCCTTGCTCCCCAAACTCCCACAGCCCTAGATTAAGGAGACGTCCGGTTCAACTACTCACCCTGCACAAAAGCGGCCAACACCTTGCTCCCCGTCTGCAACAGCGGATGCCCCACCACAATCTTTAAAAACTTCTCTAGCCCTGCACGGCGGCCCTCGATGACGTCGTCGCTGAAGCGGTTCGTAAACACCTTTCCGGGGAGCGGCGGGATCGTAACGCGCGCGCTCTCGCGCTCGAGGATGTCGCGGAAGTACTCGAAATCGCTGTACCGCCGCCGCACTGTGCTCTGTCGCAGCTTGAAGGCCGGGATATTGGTCCGGCATACTATCTCGTAGTCCGTGTACATGTTGCGGCCCATGCCGTGGGTGCGGGGGTTGCGGACCTGTATTTGTGTGCAAACGGTCAGCACTCTTCATCTCTTTATCTTGTGTTGTGTGGGAAAGTAAAGAGCTGTCGCTGATGACAGATGGCTGTGAGAGAAGAAAGAAGTACCTCAATCTCAAGAAAGTTTTCAGGCGGCCCGTAGATCTCCTCGAACGACTGCTGTCGCGTGTCGGGCATCGACTGCAGAATCGGCGGCCTCGCCATGCTTTGCATCCCGCGCGGCGACACAAGTGACGGCGACTTGGGCGGCGGCTGCTGTTGTCGGTTCTGGTTGTTCTGCTGGTTGCTCTGTGGTTCGCTCATCATCGGAGACCCTGGGGCGGCTTCGGCGCGCCGTGCCGGTTTGCGGGGTATAAGGTTGTCTTTGATCGGAAAATGCCGTTGTTAGGTGCTGCGTGAATGGGTTGTGGTCTCCCTTCCTAGCTTCTTTCCTAGGTCAGGGCTCGACAGTGTGGTTTGGCGATGGCGTGGTATTGGGACTGGGATAGATGCTGGAGTAGATAGAGTTGAAGTGGAGAGTGTGGTCGTCAAGTGGCTGAAGCGGGGCGAAGCCAGAGGGAAAATATGAAGTGCTCTGAACAAAGTGGGATATTACTGATATCACTGCACCGCTAGCCACAAGGCGTGAGTAGAAGCGCTTGACGAAGCTCTAAATAGCGGGGAAATCCTGCTTATCGGGGTTCGAGGTCGGGGATTCTGAAACCCAACTTTCTGACCAACGAGAAGCAATATTGCAACTTCTTGCCATTGACTTTTCCGGGAGCCCACATCACCAATGAGCAGCAAAATCAGCATGTCCAAAAAGAAAATTTTATGATGTTTTTGTTGTCATTATGATGCCGGTTAGGCCGACACCCCATCAAAGGGTACTAGCAAGAACTGTGGTATAGCCCTGAAACCCATCTAGAAGGCAGAGAGCCACCATTGGGTATTTCACCCTGACCCTGCCGTTCCACAGCACATAAACGGTAGATGTAAGTAATCATGCCCAAGCAAGAAAATAGTATCGATTGTCGTTTATCCTTTCCAGATTCCGTGGTGGCATCACCATGGTGCTCAACATCTCAGCCAGGAGATAGGAGCTGCCAACGACCGGAGGCAGTGAGCCTGGAGAAAACGAAAAGAATCAAGCAATCAACGTCCACCACACCATTCCAACCGTTGCAACATTTTCTCGCCGTCCCAAGCCAGCGTCTCTAAATCTATCCCCATCCAGAAGGCCTATCCAGTTGGCGAAGAGCACTGAGCTCATGCTCAGAAGATTGAGTCTTCTCAACGGTCTCAGCGATGCCAAAGATGATGATTCCCTCTGAGGAAGGAACGGGTGCTGTGCGACCAGCAACTAGACAGCAGAGAGCCGGCAGTTCATTGTTGGATCGGGCTCGCCTCTACCAGTGAAGAGAGACACCATCCCCGTTGGCGCCCTGAAGCATCAAGCCATTGCCATTGGTCGAGCCATCAGTGATCTGGAGCGGCTCCTTTCCCTTACGAGGGCTGTACTCGGAACCAGTACCACCGTAGGCGATATCAACAGCACGGCGGATAATGCGGTCAATCGTGTCCCACTCCATCTCAGCAGCCTCAGCTAGAGTCAGCTCGTCGAAGGTCTCGCCGGTAGGGAAGGCAATTTCGCGCCAGAAGAAACCCCAGTAGCCGTTGTTACCTCGACTGTAGAGGCTTTGCTTCTCGCGGATGCTCAGGGTGGCAAAGGCGCGGGTGGTCTCTTCGCGGATGATGGCAATGTAGTACTGTAAAGGAGCGTTAGTTTGGGCCTCAAAATGGAGATGTGAAAGGGGATTTTTTTCACCTCGAGCACATCCAACGGAATACCAGGCTTAGGTCCCAGAGTGTACTGGTGGGTCCAAAGGTCGGGATATCGCGGCATGTTAAAGCTGCGGAGCTCCATGTCGGGCATGTTAACCAACGAAGCAATGCTGTCCTTCTGGACGACAGTGAAGCCGGGGCAAAGCATGGCAGCCTGAACAAGGCGCTTTTGCAAAGTTTCGTTGAGGCGTTCGGGAGATCTGCCGTCGTGGATATTCATCTTCAGGTTCTCAATGAGCTTGGCACAGGCCTCGTAGATGTCGTGACGCTGCTTGATGGTGATACACTCCGTCGTGTACCAGGGCATTTTCTTGATGGTGCTGATGAGGCACTCATAGGCGCGCTCGGGACAGTCGCGAGAGAACGGGGACTGTGATGGAATAATGTGAGCTTTTTAACGGTATGTGATTTAGACGGAGTGACTTACGCGGTTCGGAACTTCAACGTGCTTGACCAGCATGCACATCTCCTCGGCCGTGACAAAGGTCTTAAAATTATCCCAGGGCTCCTTGGGATTGGGCTGCTTGAACTCGGGTCGAGAGCCATTCCACCGTAGGCCACGGGCAATGGGAAAGAGATCCTTCATCAAAGCACTCTGGCTGGAGACCTCGATGTCAACGGGTCTCTCTCCCAGCCGCGCACAACGACCTTTGAGCATGTTGTTCTTGATGCGGTTGACCGCATTGATGGCATCTTCAAGGGTCACAAACTCGACATAGGCGTCATTGGTCTTGCTCGTCACACGATCCATAATGATGTGGACAGGTTCCTCGTTGTCATTCAGGATTCGGGAGTTGCGACCAAGGAAGGCCACAATCTCAGCTCGGCTGCTGTTGTACGGGATCTGTATAGAAAGGTGAGCGCTATAGTACTTTGGTTTCGCGGCAGGTTCGATAAAAGACTTACGTTTTTGAGGTGGACGACACCGTAATCCTTGGGGGCAGACTGCACGATAGCCGGCTCGATGAAAGGGAAATTCTCGGGATCCATGAGGCTCTCCAAAGTGGGACGGCCGTCCTCTCCGACGATGCGGTTCAGCATAACAGAGCGTTGAGCCATGATCTCCTTGGTCGGGGCGGCAAACAGCTCAATCGTCTTCTTGGGCACATCCAAGACCAGAGGCTGGATGACCGGGGGGGGAGTCTTGAAGCGGAAGTAGTCGTGGCCGCCGGTGTTGCCATTCTTGACCACGTCGTTCTGGTAGATGGCCTGCTGGTAGTTGGTGTTACCTCGAGGAGTACCGTTGCCTTGTGCACTTTGAACGTAAGTCGAAACTCCATTTTGGTAGCCAGCATTGTTGTTGACCGCAGTATGGGGAACCTGGGTAGACATGCTGTTGAGTCTTCCAGCTGCGTTACCGACGTTGGTTTGGCCGTTCTTTTGGGCCTGGGAGTGGGCATTGTTGAAGGAAGCTGCACCCGAGGTCGAAGTAATATTGAGAGCGGTTAGCATGGAAGGCGCGCCGACATGCTGATCGTCCTCGAAGGCAGGAGCGCCTTGAATAGGAGAGTTGCCGTTGACGCGAGGGCACGTTCCATTGACGGGAGCAATAGGAAGGGCAGGGGCGAGTCCCTGTCGGTAGGTCTCATGCTTGAAAGGTCGGCAGTTGTACTGGGGCTGGGAGTGTGACAACGGTTGCATCTTGGAGCCCGTCGTCTGCTGAATGAGGTTGAGCAATGCAGTCGTGTTGTCATTCTGGTTGCCAAAGGCAGAGGCACGCTCGGGAGTGGGAGCCGAAGAGGCGGCAGGAGTGGGCAACTCGACCTTGTTGATTGCATTGCCGTTCTGGGCCTTGTCGGCGGGCATGACGAATGGCTTGGTGCTCGGGTTGAGGTTGCTGCTGGCACCGCTGGAGGGGCGGCTCTGAGCAGCAACAGCGGGTACACCAATAGTGCTGCCCTTGCCCTTCTCTACGGCATTCTCAACAACACTATTGGTCTTGCCGATGCCATTGACGTTGTTATTGATCTTGACGCCATTGGTCTGAGGCTTGACGCTCTTCAGGCTAGCACGATGGGTCTTGTTATTGGTGGTATGCTTACTGCCATTGCCATTGACAGTGAAGCTCTCCTCAATGGGGCTGTAGAGAGGAGCACCGCCATCGGACTGGTCGGATGAAGCGACCGAAGCAATCGAAGTGCAAGGTCTGATACGAGCCGTAATGGCCGCACCCTTGCCACGTCTGCCGCGGAAAGGCATCGTGTTCCTTCGTAGCTGGGAAAGCAGAGCCTCTGGGTTTGGAAATGAGTCAGTCTTGTTCCAGCAAGGCAAAACAATTGGAAGATTGGTCCCAAAATCAACAGAGGTTTTGGAGTGAGAAAAGAATGGCATGGGTATAGGTGGCCCAGAAGTGAACAGGTCGGGAATGGGATGGAGGGATTCCAAGAGTTAGCTTAGAGGGAAGGGAACGTAGGTCATCGGGCCCAGATTTCATTTTGTGAGTGTGGGGTGAAGTAAGAGTTCACAAAATTCATCGTGAATTCGTTGTGAGTGATCGTTGAAGAGTCGGTAAATGGATTGACAACATATTTCATATGGGTGTGGTATGCAAAATGGTACACAATGAAGTTGTGATATCAGATGACGACAACAGACAATTCTGACCACACAGTGAAGAGACGACAGATAAAAAAGTATTCTGTGAGCCCAAAATGGTCTGATTATGGGAAAATCAAAGGTAGAGAAGGGAATGCAAACATACCTGGAGTTGCTGATGACCTGAGGTCGGTATCGGGAGCTGCGATCTTCCAAAGAAGGCAGCGTAATCACAAGCACGTACAGGATCGTTGAGAAGAACGGTCCAGAAATGTGCATCTACCAGCGAGGGTGTCCTAGATCCTGGGTTCTGCCTCTGTCAATATAAAGATCAGCAAGCTTTGCAAGAAAAGATCAAAGAGTCTTGCCAGTCACAAAAAGGGCAGAGGTTTAATGGTAGTTGAAATAAAAGTGGAGAGCCCAACAATAGGAATGTTGGTGCACTGAGCGTGAGACGACTGGTGTTGGATGACGATGAGGGGAGTTGATGGAGTTGGGAATTTGTTGCAATGTTACTAGGTGGGGGGAGGTGTTGGCGACAACAGCAGTCGCATCAAATTGAGTAAGGTCACGCAGCATAAAGGTGGATGAACTAGGTATAGGGTATCGTCAACCATAAGAAGTTGGTCTCAAAGGCGCAATGTGGAAGGAACGGCGAGAACAATATGGTTGAGGTGAAAGGGACGGGTTCTGGGCAGGTGGGCTAGGACGAGAGTGTCGGCGACCGCATAAAAATAACAAGAAGCAGCAGGACAGCAGGGAGAAGTAGAAATGGAGAGGAATAAAGCTCACAAACGAAGAGTAGACAATGTCAGAGGTTGGGTTCTGCTCCAGAGTACAGACCAACAATGTAATGGGAGGTTTGCTCAATTGGCAAAGGTGTTCGAGGTTCTGGAGGAATGATGCTGAGGGGATCGTCACTGTTGGCTTGATGAATTGAACAGGAAGGTGCTCTTATTGGGTAATGTCATTTAGTCCAGATGATATAAAATCCGCTGAACCTATTAAGACTATAAGTGTCAGATAATCTGGCTGAATTAATACAACAAGTTATTGTGCAGTGCTCCAAAGAATGTGTACTTTCACCTAGAATGACGGCCAAATAGGGGATGAGTAATGATAAATAGGGGATGAGTAATGATATTAATGGGATGCTTACTGCCAATTTGATTCAGTTCAACGCCACTTCCAATATCACAGGCTGAGTATTCAGATCCCAATTTGAAGTGACAAGTAACAATAGGAAGGTGCCGACTTGACGAGATGTGGGTAAGTTGGCGAAGAGAGGATGAGATACTGCTGCTGCTGTGAATAGATCAATGACTTCTAATATCAAAGTAATCAGGTTCTGATATGTGGTCAGCAACAGTATGAAGGCATAACTTAAGCTGTTAGGTAAATGGCGGAGGAATCAGAGGAAACCTACCGTTACTGTGAATTATTCAAGGCGACTTCGATGATGGAGGATTAAGCAGCCGGATATCAGTAATACCGGCAAATACCACAGGAATCTTCAGCCTGCTTCGGGTCCTGCTCGTGGAACTGGACTTTGAATGGTGACCAAGATACTCCCAACCCCCAATTCCCCCTAGAAGAACAAACAAATGGGTTTGGGTATGCTTTGAGAAATGGCGGAGGATTGAATTGACTATGTTATGATCAGTAAGAAAAGGCACAGTATCTCTGAGGGGTAACGAACTCGATGTAGCCTTGAAGACCAAGAGCTTGCATTCAAGTGCAATACCAACTGACCAAGTATCCTTCGTACTGTGAGGACCAGAAATAGAAACACTGGAGTAGAATCAGAAATGTGTGGTTTTTGCTGCTCTTGCTTTCGACCCAGTCAAAAGAAACTTGGCAGGAGTTTGAAGACAAGTAATCCAAACAGAAACAATAACAGGCACACTCAATAATCTTGATTTATTCCGACATGTTGGTTATTCACAAATGTTAACGAGGTGTGAAGAAAAATGTCATCAAGACCAAAGGCCATTGCAAATTCATCGGCATGGCAGATTTTCCAGTGATAAAATTTTTAACTACCATGGCTATGTAGTCATGGACATGGTCCACAGGGAAAGGGGCTTAAGGTTTCATACAGCCAGGCTACCAGATGGGTGAGAGGGTTTGGCCAACGCCAGGATCCAAGGAGGAAAGTCTTGTGGCCTCAATCCGACCCGGGGCCGTCGTCGAGGACAGGCTGAAATTTTGATATCGACCCACTTCAAGTGGTAGAACAAGTATCAGCTTCATACTTGTATCTGAAGTAGCTGAGTCCAAATTGACTGGCCCAGATACAGCAGTTATCGACTCAAAAGCAACATCAGTAAAACTGCATTTCTTCAGAAATTGTATTAAGATGGGTTAAGATGGAAGATACCTAGGCTATGGAAGTATACTGATATATATATCGAGGAAGGTTTGGTTGCAGTTATAATTGAAGCTGCAATATTGCTAACACAGTATTCAACTTTAGCTATCAATAATTTTGACAAGATCCCATGGCAAAGAATAAAAGTAGTCATAGATAATTGAGAACAAAGTCAGAGAGATGAATCAGCTGAATGAGGACGAACCAAAAAATGGCTACTTTGTCCTAACCCAGGGGTTTTGAAGCCTCAGGTTATGGCATGGCGTCCAAATCTTCGTACGGATAGTTACGGCTTCCTCCTGGAGATCTCGCCAGCGGCCAAGGCCACTTGGTCTGCGGAAGGATGGATCGCAGCAGGTGTTCCATCTATCTCTTTCATATTCATAGTCGCTTGACGATAATTTGCCCAGCACAATGTAACGTACAGTTCAGGAGCGCTTTCCCAAAGCCAAGTTATCATGGCATCGCCAAAATGCAGCATATCATTCTTAGATTGGAATCTGGACCCATGGACGAAAATCTGTATACTCGAGTGGATCTCGCGGACCCACTTGACTCAAGTGGAAGCACAGGGCAGCTATCTATACTCAAGGACATTTGGCATGACGGAAGTGGAGAAGTAACCGGCGACGTTCGACTTGTGCTGCAAAAAAAACAGCACTTCGGGAAGTAAAGTTGGGAGGGGGAGTGGGCATTCCACTGCATCTGCTCGTTTGGTCTCAGCGTTGGTAAACTGGCGTTACGCTCTTCTAATCTCTTCAGGCACCAAGTCGGAAGTCCTCCTCGGGTGGCTTTATCACTGATTTAAGCCGCTGAGTATTATGATGTCGTTTCTGTGTGGCATGTGTATCCCGTAGGCATTGAGGAAGCTGCGTATCTAATAGATGCCAGCAGAAGTCATGGAATGAATGGAAATTTTGAGTCGTTGACAAGTGTCAAGCAGGATCTGGCCAGGCCTGGGAAGGAGGCGAGTGTGGATCGTCGCATATTGAATATTTCGGCCACAGGTTTGAACTATGATATTGCGCTGCCTAGCTTTGCAGCCCTGGCTGGGCCCATATATCAAGTGATCGGATGCATCAGGTCTTCTTAAGAGGTATCTACAGGATGATGGTAACTCGGCAGATATTCAATAAGAGTAACTTCCCCATTTGACTTGAGAAAACTGGAGAGTGTGGGTCAACTGGAGGTTATATGGAGAGGGAATCGCTTCTGAAGAACGTGGTGGAGCAATGGCATGTCTTATGTTGGCTATGCAAGAGCTCTGCAGAATCCGCAGGATTATATTAACTGAGTCGGCTGGTGTAGTTGGTCACTTCGCTGGTAGATAAGTCCCGATTTGAGCCTCGCCCACTTGGGTCGGTGACGAGTCGCGGGTTCGAATCCCGCAGCTGACACACAAGGGGGTTTAGTCAACCCTTACGGCGCGCTGCCCACCTTGTTGACTTCGCCTACCTAGCGATAATAGGGAGATTGGTGCAGTTTAGGATTACGAGCATCCTAGCCAGTCGACCGTCAAGCACTACGTCGGCGGAATATAACTCGACAGCCGGTCCAGAATTCGAATCGTTAATCCGACCCCTTATCGGACCCCCTCTCGCCGCGATTCTTGCGAGCGTCTAGACCACGTTACGGTCTATCCACTTGAGCGTATGGTTGAGATGTATACGCTCGACGAGAACCCCAATTAGCAGATACTACGGCTTGTCGCGACAAAAAGTAGTCGAGCATCTTCTGCACATCAGCAGCGTCCCACCCCTGAGGACGAATTTAAGTGCCACATTACCACACTTATCGGTAGTTCAGGCAGGGGTTGTAGCACAGACTTAGGGAGGGACAGGAGGTTTAGTAGTCGTTTGGCTACAAGTTTACCTGTATAACCGCCCGACGCGGCTTAAGGGCTCGCTATATCATCTATAGCCCCTTAAGGGAGTACTTGTAGAGGTACCGAGGGTTAACACCTACGGCGTATTTAATATTATTTTTTATTAACTGAGAGTCAGACGTGGAGAATGTGTCCAAACAAAGAGAAGATACTTTAGAGGCGGCTCGTCAAGAAAGGTAGAAAAAATTAGTTGGAATCCGCACCAGCCATTAACGGGTAACCTAGGGAGTAGAGACCGTTGGGCTCCTCCTTACGCAAGCAGAAACTACAAGGCATAACAATCAATACTGATGCTTGAGACGCTTCCATCCGAACATATATTTGCAACATAGAGTCTGTGTGACGTCAGGTCAAATTCGAACTGAATGCTAGGCCTACGTAGCTGCTGTACTACATCTAGGTGACGTGAGCTAGTTTCCATCTCGGGAAATCTTTCCAACGGCCGTACTGCTGAGAATTCAATTATTATGTAGTATTGGTGTTTATGCTTGAGAGTCGATCAGAGTAACCCGATAGATTGTCAAGATGGAATTCAGTCTAGCTTAAGGAGGCTGTCTCAATAAGATCACAAATTTGGCTTCTCATGTTGAACTTATTCAGTTTCATGGTTTGTGAAAGGCACTAATGGGGTTGCATGATTTCTATACCGCTGGGAGGAACCGGAGGATTGGTCATCCGTATGCCACATCAAGTTTTGTATCGTTCCAAACGCCCGCAACGCTCATATATCGTGGAATTCCTCATGAACACCTGCGGAAAATGTTTACCGTCAAATTTTTGCTTCCGACCTCTTACTACCGTCGGGCCTCCAAGTTGTCTTTAATCAAAGGGCGTCAGGAACGACTCGGCCACAAATCTTGCCCGGGCGTTCAACTGGGTTTGGTCAGCAACATATGCCACGCAACTGTTGTGGAGTAGTCATCTTACAAATAGCTTCATCTCGGAAATCTCCTTGTCCACCTCCTCCATGAACTGAATGATAAAGTCGACGAGCTTGTGCTTCAACATCTCCTCGGTGTGGAAGTTGGTGATGAGGAATGAGATGTCGTATCCCTTGATGGGCTTCCGCCGGAGGATGAAGAAAGCCTCTGCGCGTTGGGTCAAGAAGCGGGTGAACTTGTGGACCAGGATGTTCTCGATCTCGTCGGCCTGCTTGATCTTGATGCTTATCCGCACGCTGTTGACGCTGGGCTCGATGAGGACTCGCTCGTTCTCGTTGCGTGCAATCACGAGAGGGTTTAGCAGGACCTCGGGCGATGTCTGGGCCTCGATCTCGGGGACATTGTGGCGTTCGGATGTCTGGGATGCGAAGTTGGACAGGCAGAGGGCAGCTGTGAGACTACTGCGCACGCATTGGAGATAGGGGCGGAGGGATTGGGACTGGCACCATGTTAGCACAACTCTGTGATGCGTACAGGGCGCTGGTGCAGATTATACCATGATGGAGGGTTACGGTCAACAAGACCGTTGTTTGGAAATCCAAGACCAGAGTTGTCGTGTTGTCTTCAGTAGGCGGGCGGGCTGCTCAGGCTTGAGTGGGGTGAAGCTGTACCTCCGGATTCTGGCAGCGGATGCGTCAGCCTACCAGCAATTTCGAGGTGGGGCAACGATTGAGAGCTACAGCCGCTTCGCTGCGCCGCGTAAATGAGGCTGAAGATACACGTGATGTCAAGCCCGCAGAAACTGCCCCATGCTTGGAGCCCCGCGGATGCTAGTCTAGGAAGGCGCATCCACGTCTGATTGATCCGACCCCAAACACTTCCACATTTGACTGAAGCTCGAGGTGACGCAACAAGAAGTTTGCCTTGAGCACGCCTGCCGGCAACCGATATTTTTCTTTTCCCCTTACTCTGCCTGAACCCTTCGAAATATTCCCCTTACATTTTGCCGTTTCTGATACAGGAACACGGAGGTATTTCAAGATGGCGTCTGTACCGAGTGAGCTGTCCCGTCCCCACCTGTGCTTGTCTGTCAATTCAAGGCCCGTTGCTAACGAGTCCCCCCACCAGTCGTCGTTAAACATTCTGGCAAAAAGTACGATGTCGAGGTGGATACAGAATCGACGGGCGAGATCTTCAAGTATCAGCTGTACAGTCTGACCGGAGTCGAACCCGATCGCCAGAAGGTCCTGATGAAGGGCGGCCCCCTCAAGGATGACGCCGACATGAGCAAGTTTGGCCTCAAGTCAGGCCAGACAATCATGATGATGGGTACACCAGGTGGAGATGGCGCTGCTGCTCTGGCACGACCTACCGAAAAAATCAAGTTCGTCGAGGACATGACCGAAGCCGAGGCCGCCCAGCAAGAGGGCGCCACGCCCGCTGGTCTCACGAACTTGGGCAACACCTGCTATCTTAACTCGACATTACAGGCTCTTCGTGCTATTCCCGAGCTGCAGAACGCCCTGACGAAATACGAACCTCACAGCGGGAGCGCTGGTACCACTTTGCCACAGCTTGATCTCACAAGACAACTCCGCGACCTCTACAAATACATGTCTGAAACCCAGAATGCCTTTGTTCCCCACGCCTTCTTAACTGCTCTGCGCCAGGCCTTCCCCCAGTTTTCTGAGCGATCTCGAAGCGGCCCTGGATATGCCCAACAGGATGCCGAGGAGGCTTGGTCGCAGATTGTCGCCCAGGTGCGACAGAAGCTCAAGGTCAAGAATGACCCCGAGGCCCAGGAATCTTCATTTATCGACAACTACATGGCAGGAGAGTTCTCTTCGGTTCTCGAGTGTGACGATGCATCAGCTCGCGAGGCTGGTGAGCAACCAGTGAACACCAAGGACGCTTTCCTGAAGCTCAACTGCCATATCGACGGCGCAACGAATCATTTGACGGACGGCATCAAGAATGGCTTGATCGAGCAGATTGAGAAGAGGTCCGACGTGCTGGACAGAGAGACAACATATACCCGTACTTCCAAGATATCCCGGCTCCCGAAGTACCTAACTGTGCACTTTGTGCGCTTCTACTGGAAACGAGAGACCCAGAAAAAGGCCAAGATCATGCGTAAGGTCACGTTCCCCCATGAGCTGGACGTTGTGGAGTTCTGCACAGAAGATCTCAAGAAGATGCTCGTTCCTGTTCGCGACAAGGTGCGAGAGATCAGGAAGGATGAGGAGGACATTGAGCGCTCTCGCAAGCGACGCAAGCGCAACAACGAGGGTGCTCTGGAGGATGTAGCAGGGGGCAGTGCCGCGAAGCTGGAGAAGAAAGATGGAAAGCGAGATGCCGAAAAGGAAAAGAAGGATGACAAGAAGGCGGGTAAGTCGGCAGACGGTGATACCGAGATGGTCGGTGCCGAGACCTACAAGACCGATGCAGAGATCGACGCCGAGAAGGATGCCGCGCTCCTGACAGCGAAGAAGGAACTGAACGCCCTGATTCATCCCGATCTGGCCAAGCAAGACGGCGCAAACCAGTCCGGCCTATACGAGCTGCGCGGGGTTGTCACACATCAAGGCGCAAGTGCCGACAGTGGTCACTACACGGCGTACGTCAAGAAGGAGGTGCCAATCGATCCGAAGACGGGCCAGAAGCGGGACGAGGAGGAGAAGTGGTGGTGGTTCAACGACGACCGCGTCTCCGAGGTGTCCGCCGACAAAATCGAGGCGCTGGCGGGTGGTGGCGAGTCACATTCGGCCCTCATTCTCTTGTACAAGGCCGTTCCACTTCCCTCGGCTGATGGAATCGTGGACTAAATTTCCTTGATCCAAGGAAAGCATCGCATATGGCGTTTCAGTGCATGGCGAGCACGGGTATGCATGGTATGCGGATAGCACGAGAGCTATGGTTTTATCTGAGAAACGAGATCAATGCATGGGGGAAATAGACTTGGTTCCCTAAAATATTGTTCTACTTGATAATTGATCTGTAGCGGGACTTCCTCACGTTCACCGGGCTTGCTGCACCATCCAAACGACTGTATCAATATCCCGGCTTTGCAGCTAGGACTATGGTTCCTGGTTGGTGACTGTACATGACGACCATGCGTGACGATGGCAGATGTTGCCCACGCAGATTCCAATGCCATCCGGCACCTCATGCAAGGACTCTGGAGGCCGCCATCATCATCATCTCTGATTATGAGCTGCTTCTGCCACGCCTTCGAGCATTGCATCCGCGGGGCAGGAAACCCGGGCCGGCCCTCAAGTGCTACACTTGTCTACGCAGGCAAAGCTGACAGAGTGCCCTCACTCTTTGCAGAAGTGCCTTGTGGGCCTACTCACCCATGCGAGTTCAAATTTAATGTGCATATTTCACAACCTTTCTCCTCACTTCGCCTTACCATCCGTTACATTAGTAGCAACGTCGCCCTCAGCCCCCGCCTCCTCGGCCTTGAGCCGCACCCTGAGGTCCCGCAGCTTCATCTCGAGCGGGATCTTCTGCGACATGAGGACGCCCCGGCGGTGCTCCAGCGCATGGATCCGCTCCTCAGGCGTGGCTTCGATGAATTGTTGTCTTTCCTGCAGATTATTATTTAGCAACAGCGTATGGTGTTTTTGTTCTCGGTTCAACACGAAAGGTGGGGAAGAAGGGAGAAAGGGAACACACGTACAGCTTTATACTCGCGCTGCGTCTTTAAACCCGCTCCGTATAGACTCCCGACGATGGTCACCGCCGCGAATGCGCCTGTCCAGATGAGCTTCTTGATTGGGATTCCTCCTTGGGTCGCAGCAGTGGCGGCTGTGGGTACGCCCTTCGACGTAGCTGCGGATGGAGGTGGCCGACCTCTTCTTATGGGTCGTGGTGGTTGGGATGGCATATTGTGATGTGAGGTGTTTGTTTTTCTGCCGTGTAGCTGGGTGTTGTTTCTCCCTCAAGCCCAGTACTTCTTCCAGCAGGCCTCGGCCTCGGTTGCGCGTTGTCGTCGTCGCTTGACTTGCGGCTTCGTCACCTCATTACCGTCAACGGTGCTGCTCGCGGGGTTGGTGACGGTGTCGAAGGAGTTGGTGCGGCTGATGATTCCACGCGATGGCGCGAGGGAGTGTGCTCGTTTTCCGCGTAGTTCAGAAAGGCTCGTCAATTGGTCGTCATGCTCGGGCAAATGCTGGTATTCGCTCGTTGTTCCTGTTGTGTACGCAATCGTTGGCGCAGCGAGTTCGGTTGTCGACAAAAGAGAACGAGACTTCGCCATTGAAGTCGATGGGGGCCACGGTTCGAGCTCCACGTTGAAGGGAGACTCGGCGCCGTCGCCAAGCCCCAGATCGTCCCCGGCTTCCGGCTTAGCGAACAGGCCCCGGTTGCCAGCTCGAGTGACTGAATAAGCGACGTAAGCTAGGAAGGGGACCATGATTGACGTCACATCGAATGTTTGCTCGTGGAGATCATTCAAGACAATGAGCTACTTTCTTTCCAGGTTGCCGAGGCCATTTTGTTTCTCATCTGCTTCCTGCGCCTGTTGATTTTTCAATTGCCATCTGCAACAGAGTTGGAGAGACCCTGCTTCACGTTCGACGCTATTCTGAAACGAGAAGGTAGGTCTACTCAATACCTCGAGTGCCTTGTGAGGGGTTCCCCAACTTTGATAACTTGGCACTTTTACGAAAGCACGAGGTAAATGTGTTAACGTTGAATTTCCTGGAGAGCGCTTGCTCAATACACAGACAAACCAACATATTCGTTTTGAGTCCTTTTATTCTTGGGTTGATTCACTGCGGACGCATGTTCTAACTTTCCGGCATTTACAGACCGCAGCTGAGCGATTGATCGATTTTCTTCGTATCCCGCGCAAGCCCAGAGCTGCTTCCATCACACCCAAGTGGAACCCCGTCAAAAGGTTCGATACCGTTTCAGGTAGCTTGGAACTTGTCATCTGCTCTTTTCGGTAACCAGGCCAATTACAACCCGTACTTTACAAATCTCACGCGGCATAAGACGACCAGATGACTACACCCAGGGTCTTCATCGTCCGCCATGGCGAGACGGAGTGGTCCCTTAGCGGGAAGCACACGGGCTCGACCGACATCCCTCTCACGGCCAATGGCGAGAAGCGTGTCAGGGCGACTGGCAGGGCGCTCGTGGGAGACGACCGGTTGATTGTGCCGAAGCAGCTGGCTCATATGTGAGTGAACTCTCTCACACGGTCGTCATGTCACGACCTATTCTTCACAAATGCGGCCGGCTTTAGAGTCATGATTCAAGCAAGATTTAAGCAAGTGCACGCGCGCATATCATGTTCAAGTGTGAATCAGATGAAATATCGATCAAGATTCGAGGGACTTGGCACACAATGGCCCCCAGTTTTGATGAGACCCAGGCATGTCACAAGCCTTTTGGTCGGCTCCACCTGCTGGTCCCAAGACTTGATGGTGTTTCAATCGATTTTCCCGCCTGGGTTATGCGGCCCGTCACGATGTCATGAACAATCCACAGTTCGCTCAGTGGTGATGAGGCTGACATTGTGGATTGGCATTCTTCCGTATACCCACAGTCTAGAACCATAGACTATATACGTGTTATCCCCGATCCCTCGGCTCATGACTCGTTAATCTAGATACGTATCCCCCCGCCAAAGAGCCCAACGAACCTTCGAGCTGCTCAACCTGGGCGTCATGGACCCCCTGCCCTGGAAGCAGCACGGCCAGAAGCCCGAAGACGTTGGCCCTGAGTGTACCGCCAGGGTGGACGTCACCGAGGACATCCGGGAATGGGACTACGGCAACTACGAGGGCATCACGAGCCCCGAGATCAGAGACCTCAGGGAGACGCAGGGCTTGGATCGTAACTGGGATATTTGGCGGGATGGGTGTCCGGGTGGCGAGTGAGTGCTTCCCGATGCACGTTGACTTGCTGGTATTCTGTCTCTGTTGATGGCAATACGCTCGGGTAGAGCCAGGTCATTGCGTCTCCGGGAAAGGTTCCAGTAGCCGCCTGACTAACGAGCGTGTGTCTGCAGAAGCCCAGAAGAAGTCACGGAGCGAGTCGATCGACTCATCAAGGACATTCGCGACCGGTGGCACGCGCCCTGCGTAGGAAAGCCCAAGGGTGAAGCACCCTACGGTGATGTTCTCATCGTTGCCCATGGCCATATCCTGCGCGCCTTTGCACTGAGATGGTGTAACAAGACGCTGCAGGATGGCCCGGCCTTCCTGTTGGAAGCAGGTGGTGTTGGGCTTTTGAGGTGAGATCGATTGGACATTTGAGACTTGCTTTGAGGATCTTGAGGATGTTTGAGGCTAATGTTGATTTGCAGTTACGAACACCATAATCTTGAGGAGCCGGCTATTCTTTTGGGTGGTGCGTTTATGGTCTCTTGACGATAACGACAAGGCATAGGTTGTGGGAACTTGCATAGAGCTCCACTGGACGCCGTATATATCGCATGCAGCTTCCGAACATACTGGCATGGAAAATGTTTACTTGATTCAAGAATAGAGTCTGCTCCTGAGTTCCGATAGAGGTTTTCTTTATATTCGTCGTGCCATGGACCAGCCTTTTACAACGGCAAATGGTTGTCAGCCAAATACCGCAGCCGCAAAGAAACCGTTCTGCTTTCAGACCAGACTGGGTCATTTGCCAATCGACGGTCGTCGGACTTCGGCTAAGTCAGTTGTAACCTTGGAGATGGGCTGTTCTGGTCGGGTGCATGATTCACGCCTTCTACGGGATGACCGTGAACTGGTTCTGACATTGGTTTCTATCTCGGGGACTCCATGCACACGGATGCAGTTCCTGGCCTGAGGGTTTACATGATCACGGAATGAACCGAATGCATAGCTGATGCCGCCACATAGACTGGCCAGACATGCCACTATTGGTCTCCTACGAGCCATTCGACGTTACTGGATTTTTCGAGCGTGTCTCCCTGCTGTACCTCCGAGTGGAGCCAGTTCCGAAGACTCTAATCGTCCAATCGCGCTGTCGCAGCTCAGTTTCTTCCAGTGCCAATTACGATCATTTTGGTCCACATCATTAGTAGCGGATGCACAAGTCTTGGGATGCCCTGCATCGCTGATGCCTGGCTTGATGTGCACAGAGATGTAGATATCCGAGCGCTGTTCTCTGCCTTGGTTCGTCGGTCCGCGATGCTTATTGAAGCATCCTCTCATCCAGGGCTGCGAAGTCGATCTTCGGTCCTCGATTCCGCGGCGCAAGAGGTCATTCTGACGATCCCCCGTTCCCAGGGTCCTCGGATCCCGACCTGATCCGCCATTGGATATGTGTCTGATACCACTTTGGTCTTCCTAGTCATCACTATATGACGGGATGACACGTGTACAAGAACAGAAGGCTGAGTGATTACGGTAGCTAGTTTGCTGACTTGTTCCCAACACGATTTTACACGCAAGGAGCTGGACGGGAGCAACTTCAACGTCATTTTGAACAACATCAGGCTTGGTTGGCAGAAAGAATGTATGACAAGTTCAAATAGCTCTGCAAGTCGTATGCGTCCCGTGAAGTCTGTAAGATGAACGAGTGTATCAATGTAACAAGCTACTAAGCCACGGCCGCCTTCTGGTTCGGACGCCCATATTACCATATCGGAAGGAAGGACTCCACAGTCTGAGTGTATTCGTCATTGCCTCTATATAGTGCCGCGGGTTTCGAACTAAGCAGCGCCAAGAACCCCGTCTAGTCGTGTCATCAAGTTTGGCCCGTATGACTGTACTAGAACTTCCAGTGGGTCCTTGCAGACGCAGAGAAGCAGCTGCCCTCAATGCACAATCAATATCCAAGTCAACACCCGGTAGAGATTTCGTCCTTACAACAAAGAGATGTCTTGTCCCATACCTATCCGCAGTGTACCAGTTCATCTGTGTATGGAATAACTACCAGTACATGTGAAGCGAAATCTTGTCCCCCTGCACATAGCTGATCCAAATCAAGCTGGCCCCAGTATACCCACCAGTCAGCCGCTCTTTCGGCGGAAGAAATCAATCAAAGAGTGTCCGGGAGTTGCTCGCGTGATTCGCAGTGAGCAAGATTCGCCAGTGTACCCGCAAGAGCAAGGTGACACAACGTCATTACGTAATGACATCGAGTAAACCAGCGTGTGGCGCTAGTGAGAAATGGCCGAGTATAGCAAGAGCATAAGCTGTCAAGATTGGTGAAATTTAACCTGACTGGATTTCCCGAGGATTGGTCCATTCCGTTGTCCAGTGGTAGCGTTACAAGATGACTAAGTGTTCTCACGAAACTAACTGTTGTTTCCGAGAAAAGAATCGAAGTAAAGCCTGCAATGTTTAGGCCCGTATTGAACGTAGCAAAAGGAGGGATAAGAGACTCATCTGGGTGCGGATGCTTGTCCGTGATGTCTCGGCAACGAACAAGAACTGTGTGGCCTTTGGTCGTCGTGCAAGTTGCCCCTGGTTCCCCACATGGGAGTGCGTGTCTGCCATCGCATCGGTGACACGCCGCACACACCAAGGCCAGCTACGGATTGTTGCCAATGGCAGGTATATAGACGGGACCAACAGCTTTGTTAGCCCGTGACAAAACAAAGAAAAGAGTCGCGTCGTATCGAGTTCGGTGTGGCTCACAGTTCTCGCATGTTTGTGGTTGAGGTATCATAAGTGGCCGCCAGTGGCATTTCTTCGTACACTTCGAGACAAAAGCAGGCTCGTCAACACCTGACGTACCCTCGGAAGATTCTTGGCTGTCAAACAGGCCACAATCAGCGTCATCGCTCATTCGGGTTGGTTGTGAGCTGAACCCATCGTCGAGTATAGTAAAGGGGACGGGCAGCCGCTCTGCCGAAATCGCGAGTTTCTGTAGGATTCGAAGGGATTGTCTGATGAAAGCTCTTTAGGATGAAAGCTATGAACAGCAATGGGTGGGAGTAGGGGTTTCTGAAAGCATGTTGCCCTCCACAATATCAGCAAACCTAATAGTTCTCATACCGCAGGAGGCCTTCCAGGGCGACTAAGTAGCTGTTGTCGGCCAGCTCCTCAGCTCTTCCTGAAAAGCATCCATTGCCGTGGCAGGACGTATGGGTCATTCCGTCCATGAGTCTTCGTGGCACGCCATGTTCGGTTTCTAGTGGATAGATAGGTCAATGTACTGACCGCTGTGCGTCGGTTTCCAAACTTCTCATGTGCAGTGTCACTCGAAAGTCAGTACTCAGAGTTGGGGCAAGGGAAAAACCTGCTTGGCGCAAGTTCTTGCGCTGATCAATACATGGTTCAGAGACGGCGGCGAGCCGAGTCCCTAGTAGACCAGAAAGACTTCGAGGAGACGGCAAGGTTTCGTCGTGGGTGATCTCACTTACGATCCTTTTCATGCTGCGAGGCACCACTCCACAGGTCAAGCTGCAACGAGTTGTCCTTCGAAAGCCATCTTCCGCAGAAAGGAGTCGGTTTCCATCGAGTCCCCTTCTCTGGGTGCGGAGGAGCCAACGGGAACAGGTCTTCGTAAAGCTAGTGCAGGGCTTAACTGGGTTTTCTTTAGCGTCTTCTTGTCTTCAAGATCGGCTTTGAGTAACCTTGATCAAATGGTCCATCGGAAACATGTCACTCAGACACTGGGAAATCAAGACGATACGTCTCTGTCTTCGTGGGTACAACGTACGGAAACATAAGATGACGGCCTCGCGAAGCTCTCGAACTGCCCAAACGCTTTTTCCCGATAGATACGATTCAGTGTTTTCCCGTTCGGCCGTTAGGGTTTCGGTTTATTTCTTATTTCGTTATTGTGTTCATTTCCATCACTGGTCCGGGGTTGTAGCAGACAGACCCTGGGCGACACCTCGTTCCACAGCAGCGAGGAAGAATGCAACGAGATACGAGGCTCAACGACCCAACAGTTTTCCTTCAGTATTCATGCAAGCGTGCTGAGATCGAACATGAGAGTTCTACAATGGCCTGACTAAACGTCACCGCCGATTACAACGGTTCAGCGAGGGGGGCTGTGGCAAAGTGAGTTTCCATTCACCAGAGCATCATCTATCTTCTACAGAAGAAGGATGTCAGCAGAATCCGTGCAAGGCTGCATAGGCTCATCATTTGCGAAGGCGGGAGAGCAGGCAGAAACAAGCTATCGGTAGAAGGGGTGGTGACTGGTTGAGGGTTTTCATTTTAGGTGTCGGCGACAAGAGCCAAATCTTTTGCCCCAGAACTTGCAAAGCTCGTGCGGACATGACGAAGAAACCCATTTGATCCCTTGATATTTGCGTCGCTTCCCTCGTTTTTGGACGTAGACGTTGCCGCCTGCCTGCCTGCCCTGGCCCAAAGTGTCGACTCGACTATACTCGTCGCCCACCGCTGTATTTGGCGCCAAGTATACAGGACACAAAAACGGGTGTATAGTAGTTTTCCCTCTCTTTCTCGCGTATGCAGAAGCCGCTCGTTGAAGTGGGGTCGTCGAATTGTCGAAGTGTCGAAATGTCGTCGTCGTTGAGCGCCGTGCGGTCGCGAAGTCTCGAGGTTATTACAGGCTGGCTGGCCACAGTCGCATTTAGTTTGCCGCCCGACAGATGATTCAAGGGGCAACTTTAAAAGGCCCAAATTGAGTAATGCTCAACGCAAATGATGTTTAAGCTGTGCCATCTCGAGCACGCTACTGACGTGGCGTCTACAAGAAGTATCCGACACATTAAAGAAACCTCTTCCGACAGGACGAGTATTAGATTTGCACACTTGTGGTAAGGGATAAGTCGGGTTCGGGGAATCTCTACAGAATACGCAATAAGATTATGCCTTGTGCGAAGCCAGACGCGATCAAGGATTTCAAGTTTCTCGTCCGCTACATCACCATGACTTCAGCCATCCATGGATATCCATGAACGTAAGAAACACACCAGACCGGACTGCGTTGGGTTGGTCGACCCGCCAGCGGGAACGCCACAGTTCTCGTCGAACCATACAGTTCCTTTTAGCAGTCAGAACTGCCGGGCCAAGGCCCAGATGAGACGATCTGGGATACGAGGGAGGGAAGTTGGTTGGGAACGGCTCGACACCACGCCGTCATTGGCCCCCTTTGAAGCAACGACCTTCCCTGCAAGCCGATAGTTGCACCAGAACAAGGTGGTACAATCGCATGACGGCTAGCCAGCCAATGTCCGCTGAGCCGGTATCACTCAAGGCCTTCAGATCTGGTGCGATAGCCTGGCTGACTCAAGGAAGTCATCGCTTCATTTCGATTCCCACTGGGATTGCTGCGCTCGTATCCATCCTACTCGACCATTGGCGAGCTCTGCACCAGATTCGGCAGGATACCTCCAATATATACGCCGCGTCTGGTCATCCTAGGTCGATTATTTGGAACTTAAATTCATCTGTAACTTACAACCTTTTCCTTCTTATCCAAACTCTATTCTCGTCTTTGCGACCCGCAGAGTGCCACGATTCCAGCGCACCTAGACCTCGCGGGCGGCGGAGCGTAACAAGGACAGGCACGACAAGCCCAAAGGGAAGTAATCCGCGCGCGACCCCCTTTTCATCTTCCCCCTGCCTTCAATAATACGCAAGCAATGCGTATTGGACAATTGAAAAAGTCATCTTGGCACAGACATACGCACGTAATGGGATGGGTTTTGGACATCCAATTGTGCAGCAGCAAGCACACCGCGGAAAACCACCACGGCCCCAGCCGGGATGATCGCTGTCCCAGGGCAGATTGTCCCTGGAGGGCTCCATCTTGATCATCGTCATTATCATCATCGTAGACCGTAATAATGACAGGTTTCATTTGATGAGGGAGAAGAGGTGTAGTGCCGACAACGAGGGTCACTATTCAAGCAACACCTCTTTATCCGAACAGCCACTCAAGTTTATTACATACACGCAGGCAAGCCTACGTTCCCTGGCGTGTGGTGCTTTGTGAACAAGCAGTTGGCTACCTTACTGATTGATCCACTCCACTATTTCCCACCTCTCTTTCGCTGCGGAGCAGTAGATGCATGAGCCGCCAGCGGCCACCCAGACGATTCAGATGAATTAGCAACAACCTGGGCTCGGGCGGGGAGGGCCCTCTGCCTTCCTTTCTTCCCGTTGCCGTCCTATTAGCACAAACACAGCCCAGACATTTTTTTGAACAGATACCATAATAGTTAGGTGTAGGTAATCGGCCCGGCGCCCGTTGGCGAACGCGCCGCAGGTACGCCTAATTAAAGGAGAGAAAAAACACCAAAAGAGAGAAATCCCCCCCCGGCATAAGCGCTAATGTTGGAAGAACCTTATTGCCTAGCTAAAATGCCAACCGCCATGAAGCAACCATACACCGCTCTTATAGTATCGTCGGCATTCCACCGTGCAGGCATCTTGGCGCAAATGAAATGTACGACCAAGCATCGTTGCGCACAGAGAAAGTGAAGATCATAGAGAAAAGATCAAGGAATAAATCAAACGTATTCCACGCCTTCGCTTGCGCGATTATTGTTGCCATGCTCAGTGTAAATCTCATCAAATGCTAACCTGCAGCTCCAGCTCCGGCACAAAATTGCGACCGGACGAGACGACTCAAAACAGAAAAAGGAGCTACCAAATTTGTGCCGCGAGGCAATGCCCGTCTTTTCCACGTGCTGCAACATGACTTGAAAAAAGACAAAACTACACCATAGCAACGCTGCAGAATTAGCACCTTGGATATAAAGCGGTGACGGGTGTTTGTTGCCAAACTTGGATGCCATCTAAGCTCTCCCTTCCCCCCCATGGTTCCTTTTCCACAACACCATGCCCCCCGCGAGGAGACCGCCATAGGCGAGTTTCGATCCCTCAAGCACGTCAGACGAGTGTGCAAATTAAGAGGCCATTTAATAGTCGGCCCAGAGGCGTAACGTGGTCCCATCGAGCTGGGACTGCGGGATGTGACTGTCCAGTAGCTGCTTCGCCGAGGAAACCAAGTGATTGCCATCTTCCGGTTGCTGGCTTCACTACTTGGCACGACGATTCAGCCTGCCCAACATGCCTTGATCAATGTCGTTTCCAGGACTAGGTCCGGAATCCATTATGTTGCCCAGACTCATAACAGAGTTGACCGACGTCCCACTCGGTGGCACACCCGATGGACTGCCTCGAGGAGGCGTCCGGTTATCGTACGCATGCTGCGGGGCCGGCTGCGGCGGTGGTATAGTCTGGTACGGAGCGAGATGACTGGGGCTGCTGCTTGACGAGGGTGAACGCCTTCTAGGGTTGTCGTCGGGAAACGTGTTCGGGGGAGGCAAACGAACGCCATGGTCGTCCTCAGGTGGTCTTGGACGCCTTCTACCTACTTCTGCCCTGTCCTCTGGATACGCGCTGAAAGAACCCGTAGGAGACGGCAGTGGCTGGTCATACTGAGGGGTCGTCGATTGATAGGGGCCACCAGGTGGTAGATTTGCTGACGCGTTGATTGGTTGTCCATATGCCCCGAATAGTTGCGTCCCTGGCGGCACGCCGTTGGGGAGGGCTGAAACCGGCACAAACGCTGTCGAAGAAGATGAAGATACCGGCTGAAAGATGCATTCCTGATTCATCTTGATGCAGTTTGTGCACTTGCCTCCCGGTGAATTTTGGTAGCCACTACAACGTATCTATAAAACTGTAAGCCCTGGGAAATTGACTGTTTTCGTTCGAAAGAATGTCCACCTACCTTCCGCCTCCTGCAATATCTACAAGCGATCGAAGTCCTCTGACGCGGTGCAGATTGCTGCATTACGGCACCACCTGGACCGCGGACGTATTCGGGCGGGTAGGCTCCGGGCGGGCCCCCACGATCTGGTCGGTATGCGAATTGGTACGGATCTGGATTGTAGGGTACCTGCCCACGCTGCGCCGCATAATACGGCTGCGCCCTTGGATCTGGCGGAGGAGGGTAGACTGCTCTCGCGTCCTGAGGATGCGGTTGGACCGGAGGGAGATATTGAGGGCCAGGCGGTTGAGGAGGAGGGTAGCCCCCAGCACCGTTTGAAGGCGAATAGCTGGGCTGAGGAGCCTGCACGCTGCCTGGAGGTGGCGGGTACCCATTTGTAGAACTTGGAGAAGCCCCGTAGCTGTTAGCTCGCGGATCCCATCCCCTTCCCGGGGGATGGCCCGAAGCACCATAAGGGTCCTGAATGGACGGAAGAGTCACTGCTCCCGTCGCCATTTGTGGCCGCGGGTGGTAAGGTATGGCTCGCGACCGTTCGTCTTCTTCACCCGGAGGTAGAGGATACTGCGATGCGTCGTTGTGATCGATTCTTGGTGGCGGTCCCCTGTTGCGATGGTCTTCTGCCATACTACGATAACGGACGCTGGAGGGCGCCAGTGTGAAGTCTGGGCAGAGAACCGGGTGGCTAATTCCACTGTTGTCGACCGAGCGGCCGTGTACTGGATTCTACGGTTTGCTATACTTCCAGGCTGTTTTTCAAGCGCGGAAAGATGAGCATGCAACGTGAAGGGGCAACGATCATAACCAAGTTAGTGTGTATGGTTCGGGACTTAGTTGCGCGCGATGCCAACTGGGTAATTTGCGGTGGGATGCGTCGAAGGAAAAGAAAAAAGAATATCACAAATACCCGGCGAGGGTTTTGCGATTAAAAGGAGGACCGAAAGCCCACTGCGTGCTCAACTGAGCGGGCTAGAGATTCCGAGGCAGATTTAGCAGGACGGTGCGCCGCATTAAAAGTCTGGAAGTCTGGAAGGTGACAAGATCGATGGAGAAGAAGTAAGTGCAGGAATTTGGGCGGGGCTCAAGACGGAGGGGCGGCCACTGTAGGGGCCGCTGGGATGGCCTTGACTTTCTATAAAGTGCGGGATGGCCCTTGGGCTGCTGCACGTAAGGAAACTAAATTGCCAATATCAGCCAGAGTGCGCCACGACAAGTGAAAAAAATAAGTTTGGTAAAGTCTTATTATAGAAGACGCTGTAAGAGGTTGGGGCAGAAAATGTGCAAAATAAGGATGGATGCAAACAGACACAGCAAGAGGCATGCACTGAAAAGAAGCGCAGCAAATCAAACGGTGCTAACTTGCTGCCTCAAACGACAAGAACCAACACCAGGGTTGGTTGGGCGCAGCTGAGGCCAAACACAGTAGAAGCACGCCCCAAGCCAGTGGTTTTGAGGGACCGACACAACAATGGGAAGAGTTCTTGGATGTGTGCATGCAAGTAACAGTTTCGAGGCGTGCGACGGGTGTGGAGATGCAAACTGAGGTATGATCATGTGGGTTGAAGGCAGAGGCTGTGGGCCAAATACTTCGATGGCGCCGTCCTTGACGGCCCTTTCGGGAGTGACCTTAAAGGTCCTGAAATATGCCCAGGATTGTGGGGCTTTCGTGTTTACCAGTTGATCGATACGTACCTATTGCCCAATGTGACTAGCAGCAGCGTTTTCCGGGGTGGGTAGATGAGATGGAGGTTCGCGCTTGTGCACCACCGTGGCGTAGTATGTTGGTGGAAGGGGGAGAGACAGAGTGGCCGTAGCTGATCGGATGGCGGGTCTTGGGCGTGCGTTGACGAGCTTGGCTTCTGGACTAAAATGCCTCCTGGAACCGCTAACGGAGTAGTGGTTCTCCAAATGGTGGTAGCTATGTGAGGAGACAGGTGAGGGGATGGATGACTCGAGTGCAATGAGCTGTTCTTTCCCACCAGGCCAATATGGGTGAAATTGATGGCAGATGTCGAACAAGGGTGTGTTGTACAGGCGGCTGTAGGGATTGTTGCAGCTATTTGCAGGCCTGGCCAAATGTGGTCGTCCAAGGGAATTTTGAAGCTTGACTTGATTGGAAGAAGATCCGCCCTCTGTGTGCTTTTCGCGTCTAATTCTGGATCCCGTCAGGACGGACCTTGTGGTGCCCGCAGAGGGTCGCAGAAGAGGCCGCAGCCGAATGAGCCAAAATGATTTGATCGAATACTGCAGCAGCCTTTTGCGTCTCTGGGCACTTGCAAGCTGCTGCGAGCGGCAGATGGATGTCTGGGCGTGCGCTTTTTTGCCTCTTGACGTGTGTGGCTCGAAACAGAATGCGAAATGTGCGGCACCAATTGACGGGGAATTGCTGCGTTTGTCCGGTATTCTTAGCACACAGCTCCTGCCTTGCATGTAATAAATTCGGTCAGACGGTTGTTTGGTGATCAACACGACCTCGAGCCGCACCGAAGATCAAACTTCGGCTGCAGTGCGGGACGAACAGGGAATCCTGATTCAGACTCGGCCGTCGAGACCTTCCCGTGCTCGTGGCAACAATGTCAATTCCACTCGTGCAAATTTCCCCAACGCCTGCTCCTATAAAAATAATGCGATGAAAACTAGGAATTCGAATACTTGGACGGTGACGCTGGCGATGCGACGATTTGCTGGGCAGGGCTGGCCCTGGACGCGGCGTGGCGTAGCAGCGTGAGAGCAGATGCAAACCGCCTTGTTTTAGCTGCCGCTGACCCGTTTGGTCCAATGCTGGTGAGATGGCTCGAACGGCGTGCGAGTACGATACTTGATCAATCACTCGCCAGAGAGGTGCAGAGCCCGCTGCTAACGGAAGGTCTGAGTGGCCGGCTTTGCGGCGTTGCGTGGGCTTTTGAGGAGTAATGCAAGCCCCGCCAACAACTTTTGAATAAGCGAACAGGGACAGGCGAAAAGGTGTCAACGTCTGAAAACAACCTGAGTCTTTCGATTCTGGGAAGTTTTCTGCGCCGCTCTACCACTTGCACTTATCAGACCGCCTGCATGTAGTAAAGTGGTAACAGTGCAGGGCAGGCAGGGCAGGGCAGGGCAGGTAGGTCAGGGGAGCCAATGCACGCAACCCACGGGGGCTTCGGCTCGGATGACAGATCCCCTTGGACGGTCCCAAGGCTCTGGGTCGCGGCTTTGCTTCTTCTCCTTTCGTGGCCCGTTTGCGCGCACGACTTCTCACACCGCCGCTTTTTCCTCGTTGGACACCTGTTTGGGAACTTGATACACCCGCAGCTGGCGTTCCGTCGTTGGTTCGCACTAGTTTCCAATTGCGTCGAAAATGCGTAATTTACGCGCTCACTCTGCTCAAGGTGCGTCTCGTTGGGAACCCTACGTGACGCAGGCACGGCCGGACTTGGTTAGGTGATGGAACGATCGATCCCAGTGAAATGGCTCTGGCTCGGCTGACGGGGTGAACCGAAACCTTGTGATGATGAACTGCTGCTGTCGGTCGCTTAACCCGACTGGGGAAACGTGGCAGAGGCTAAATGCGGCCTGACACCAATCCTACGAAGAGCTGGTGAATGCCCAAAACCTCGATAAGGGGGTGCTGCTCTGCGCCGGACGGGATTTTGGGGTAAAAGAGGTTAAAAAGGGACAGGATTGCAGAAGCGGGCGAAGGCTTCAAGAAGGTGTCTTAATTAACCTGCCCGTTCGGGGACGGCTGCCGTTACAATCTGGTCTGGTATATCTCCTGCACGTTCCTTGGTGGTAGCAATGTCATGTGAGCTCGCAAGAAAATGCCCCCCGTGGTCTGCGAACTGAAGTGAAATCGACGAGACACAGTCAGCGTCTGGTCGGAACCGGGCGGTTACGGCAGGGAAGTAACAACGAAGTCAAATATTGTGACTCGGGAAACAAGTATCAGTACCCGATGTAGATATTGGGCATGTACTGTTGCACTGTATCAGCGGCGTATCAGCGGCGTAGGTGCAGATTGCCGCAGGACGAAGTAGAGAGGACCTGTACTCCGTACTTGGTGGTCCTTGGCATAAGGGTCGGTGATTGATGTACTGTATTCGGGGCGCCTCGGCCTCAGCTGCGAACCCGACCAGCGTATCCTCGCAAAGAGAATTGGATCTGAAAGGAGGGAAAGAGGGTTCGCTTGAAGGTTTTGCTGGGATGAAGGGTCCTTAAGACTGGAGCTGATGCGAAGTGAAAGACTTGTTCTCCTCAGCCAACCCTGTTCATAACGGAGCTGGGTATGGAATTGAATGAGGTGCAACACAAACGAGAGAGGCAGCAGGCAGCAGATGCCCGCTACATGTATCAGAAGTAACAGGAAATCAGGAATCGATACCAAGCAATCCCTGAAGCCGCTGATGTGGAGGAGACGGTGAGATTGTGATGCGATGGTACTTTCGTAAGCTGAAAGATGGCAGGCCAAGAACGCAAGGCCTTTTTGCTCCCAGTTTATTCGGGTAGGCAAGTCGCGCCGTCACGCCAATGGCAGCTTCCGAGAGATTGGCCTGGGACCACCGACAAGGGAAGGCACGGCTCAGGACGGAATCCAGGGCTGCGCCGCGCCACTAGATGGCGAACGTGGCCGCGGGTAGAATCTGTTTGAAATTTTGGAATTATTTCGTCACTTTAGACGCTGTGTTGCTCCTTGCAAGCTTCAGATTTGATCACTGACAATCTTACGAGGTATGTACCTGATCTTGACTGACCCTCGGCGCTCGAGGGGCTGACGGGCTCTTCAAAAACTTGTTGCCAAGTAACCAAGTTTAAATGGCCCTGTCATGGGCTCCACACATCACAGAATCCCGGCGAAGAAAAGGCGCCACTACAGCGGCTTCTTCCTTCTGTGGGGTGCAGGGTAGTGTGAGGTACAAGGCTTCCCACCACAAACTGCGGATAGCGTATGAAGTAGGGTGGTTCTCATCCTGCTTGGAGAAAAAAAGAAACCGCTGCATGCGACATCGATTGGACAGACACAGATTGCCTAGGCTGGTCCGAAAGCTGGCCCGCACGGCACCAATGGCCGACCGGGTTGTTCGTCCGTGTCTCAACGCGCGCAATTTGGTCCATTCATCGCTTCACTGCACTTACTGCGCTAGCTAGTATACTGGGCTAGAGAACAGGAGCGTAGCAACGGCGACGAACTGCTGATAGTGGTAGCCAAGTTCGCTCGTCGACTCTTGATAGACCTCGAGTGTGAAGCTCCGTCAACCCCGGGTACCAATTGTAAGCGAGCGTTCATTCGATGGATGGGCACTTTTCTGGCTATACAACAATTGGACGGATATCTCGAGGTTGGCAGGTTGGGCAAGGACGATATCACACATGCCCGCATCACACATGTCCACTTGACCACACCCTCTTCTCTTTTTTCCGGTGCCACTACTTTAAAGCACGTCTCGCTGATCTCAACCAAGTTACACAGAGTGTGCACCTATCACAGCCGTCTAGCCTCCTGAATTAGGGCAGAGACACCGACCAGCATTACCATCTTTTGGGGTTGGACAAGATACTATTGACGGCAACTCCATGCACTGTCAGCTGTCAAGCTCATTTGCATGTGGCTTTGTACCTTTATTTAAACCTAGAAATATCATGTACTCGCAATCTTCAACGCCGCGCCGAGAGGGTAAGAGGGTTTGAAGACGCGGAGAAAACTCTGCAAGGGGCCAGATCTTCAAACCTGGGAAGCAAACAAGAGCCACCCAATGACACCTAGCTTGCGTCAGCGAGATCCGGAAGGGAAAAGCCTATCTAGCTGACGATGCCAGGAAGAGGGGAGAAATCGTGGGCAACCGAAAAGCGAAGGCCATGCGCAATCTCCTGCCATACATCTGAAAAGGATGGGTTGGTGCTGGCTTCGGGCGGAACTGTTGGTAGTTCGGCACGCAGCGGGCCAGCCCTCGTTCTCGAATTCTTCCTCAGATGCATGAATGCAGGCATGCCCCAGTCCGCCACGTTGGTACCCGCTACGGGGCTCTCTGATCAAAGCACTGAGCAAATAATAGCCGATGACTGGCGTCTGAGGTAAAGGCACACGTCACATCATCTAGATTACTGCAAACCCCACGACCACACCCAAAAACACCCGACCGTCGCCGCCTGGAGCGGTTTGGGTCGGCCAACCCTAATCACAAGTCTGGCACTGGCGGTGTCGCCGGGAACAAAACACCCAAAACAGAGCAGACCAACGGGAATGTTTTGGTATTTTGCCTGACGTAAAGCGGCCTACGCGAATGGCGGGGGTGGATTGCTAATCTCCCAGTCTGGTGGTTGGGGGCATGAACCCGGGCAATATTATCTGAAAAGTGACAACCGGTTACGAGGGTATTTTTTTTATTTTTTTTATTGTTTTTATTGTTTTTATTTCGTATTATGACAAACTCTCCTCCCCCTCCTCCCCCTCCTCCCCTGCACCCTTGGCTCGAGTCTCCACAGCAGGATACCCACCACTATCGTCGGCCGCCCGCTTGGGACTCCTCCGATTCCCTTCGCTTGGGTAAGGCGATAATCTCGTCGACGAAGCTCATTGGTCCCGCCAATCGTCGTCGAGGCTCGAATGCGGTTAGAACAACGCAGGACCCCAGCGGCAATGCGAGCAAGGGAGCGTGGCAACCATGGGCGCTAGAGGCACGAGCAGGGGACGGACAATGTTCCACCCCGCTGATTGCTCAACCACTAGCAACCAGCAAAGTCGGGAGCCCACCGCGCTCCCATGCCCATACTCCTGGGCCCCTTTGACAATTGACCGCCTTCTACTCCATTCACACCTACCATTTATCATTACGCTGTACACGCAGCTGTTCATATGATGCCTTATTCATGCCGTCACCCTGAGAAGCTGCTGCCAATGCAGCGTTACCCAACAACGAACACCCTTGCCCTGACTCTAGCCCGTGCATCCACCCATTCGCAGATTTGCCCGAGGCTCCCGACGACGGACCTTTCTCCCTCTTAAGCCGGCTATATCACGGCCTGCGTAGTACTCGAAATGGCGCAGCCATCGTGGTGATGCTGCTTTTGTAGAGGTGTGTGCCAGTGATACATATAGCCTTCCCAGGGTAATAAACGTTGCAGCGGCGCCAGGCATCAACTTTGGACAGCAGGATAGCTGTTGCTGAAAAATCGCCGCAGAAAATAAATGTTAGGATCTACAGTACTATCGTAGCTAGAACTTGCGTGCAGCATACTTCGTGCTGATCTTCGAATCTTGATGTCTGGCGCCACCGTAACTTTTATTATCCTGGGGTTGGTAGGAGGGCATAGAACGCTCCATAAACAACATGATGCATATTCGCCCTTTCCGTCCTCTCACATCTCACATTCATCCTTCACCCCACCTTTACGGGACCATCCCTTACGCATAGGGCCGCGAATAGCGTGCAACAATGCGGTGCAACATGCATATCCGC